ACAGAGCTGTGACGATCTTACATTCTCCACAACAGCGTTTAAATTACCGCGCACGCACTTTACGAGAAATGAAGTGTACACTATTCAAGACAACGTCGCATTCCAGCAATATTTTAAAGTTCTACAAGTGCCGGCATTTGAGCCGATCAGTAGTGGTCGTAGTAGACCGATCGGTCAACCAATCAGTGAAGGCCCTTGCCCGCTGGTCCAATCAGAGACGAGCGATTTGCGGAATACGAAACCACGATGCGCAGTTTACCGTCTTAAGTATTATAGGAGCACACAATAAGTACGTGCGCAAGGAATGTTTCTGCCGCGTTTTGCATAGAATTTACGATAAACAAATAAGTCAAGCAAGACAACCTTATGAAAAGTGCAACGACAAATCAAAGGAAGGCCCGTGCAATGCAGTATAAATCCGATAAAAAAGTTTGTAATATTTCCATATCAAAAAACAAATGCATGAGAAACAAGAAACACACAGGCACACGCGGCTGATTCCCGCTTTGCGTATTTTTTCATCAATTTATTCCTGGCTAAAATTTACGAAGGTTCAGGTGCGTCCTCTTTCAACATTAACTGTTACACCTACGCTTTTCCAGGTCGCGGCGGCCGCATATTCGATGGAAGCGAGAATGGTTGAGGCCCGTGAGCTTAGATTCAGGTGCGCGTAAAAGAACCCCAGGTTGTCGGAATTTCCGGAGCCGTCCAGTACGGCGTCTCTCATGATCATATGGTGATCCTGGGACGTTAAACCGCAACAATTGTTATTATTACTTCAATGAAGCTTCTTCTCGGGCTAGTTGGTGTTGTATTCCAGACGCCATAATCTTTTAGCGCGAAAACGAAGAAAAAGCAGGAATTATAGCTGAAAAGAGAATACGGTGGGCCGGGCATGCGCTAAGCGTCAACCGACTCCATTCAAGAAAAACTAAAAAAAAAAGACAGATCACCTAAAGCACATGCGCATTGCCGTTGTATAGCTAATCAATCATCGGTCTGAATAATCTGAACTGGTGACCGTACAAATGTGTAGACGTGTCGCTAATACACTCTGTGCCCTTGCGCAAAGAGTGATAAGAGTGTTTGATGAACGCGATAGCAACAATGAATGAACGCGATAGCAACATATTCGATGGTCACGCGCAGAATGGAAAGCAGATCAAAACGTGCCCCGTGTTTCTCACGCCCAAATGGGGCACGAAACGTACAGGTAAAGATGAACGCGAATAAAGGTATCCGTTGTTACTTCGCTGGGTCTGAAAAGCACGGCCTTTTCGCAAACCGAGACAGTGGAACAATTTCAGTGACCTTTGTGCGCCCGGTAATTACAGCAGAATCGTTCCGGTGAAAGCCCAAGGCCAGCCAAGACGTACGATCCTCTCCACCAGTAAATAAGGGTGCGTGAGTAAGCGTCAACCCCCCTCCATTCCGCGGGCAAACTACGCGTGGAAGAAGACAGCACGCTCCGCCGCGTCGTGACGATGTGGCGACGCGCGCTTATTGCGCCATCTTGCTGGTAATGCTGAAAACATGATAGTTTCCCCCGAGATGCCTGTCACCAGTGGTAAACGGTAGACACAAATAGCTTGCAGTTTCAACCTTGAAAGGAGGTGCTTCTCCGTGGCTCAGTGGCAAATGCCTCGCACTCACGACTCAGAGATCAGATAGATAGATAGATAGATAGATAGATAGATAGATAGATAGATAGATAGATAGATAGATAGATAGATAGATAGATAGATAGATAGATAGATAGATAGATAGATAGATAGATAGATAGATAGATAGATAGATATGTGGGGTTTAACGTCCCAAAACCACCATATGATTATTAGAGACGCCGTAGTGCAGGGCTCCGGAAATTTCGACCACCTGGGGTTCTTTAACGTGCACCCAAATCTGAGCACACGGGCCTACACCATATCCGCCTCCATCAGAAATGCAGCCGCCGCAGCCGGAATTCGAACCCGCAACCTGCGGGTCTGCAGCCGAGTACCTAAGCCACGAGACTGTTCGGTTACGCGAGCCGGAGGCTTTTAGGGGAGAAGGTCCTCTTAGTATAACCTTGTCCTGCGTGTGGCATAACAGAGAGGAGAAGAGAAGAGAAGAAAATGAAGGCAGTATATCTCGAACAGTATAATAAATGGCGCTGTCTCATAAAAGTACATACAAACTGCAGTTGAGTGAGGATATTCTAGAAGGCACTGTACCACTGCTCTCCGATTGGCTGCTGCGCAGGTTGTGGCTGGGTGATCGGAAAAGGAGTGCCTCTCTCAGTCTTCTGGATTGTCGCCATACGTGGTGGATCGTTTGTGACGCATGGACGAAGCCGAGCGGCGGGCGCATAGAAGACGCTCGCGCTCGGCTTCCTTGGCTCGCGTCTCGTCGGTGTTACCCGCGCGCCTTCTTCATTCTCGAACGCAATCGGGCGCATGCACTCATGGACGGACGAACAGACACTTCACCCCACTCGTCATCATTCGCTCCAGTAGATATGCTGTGATTCTTTTCTGCATTATTTTTTCTTTCCCGCGTTTTCATATATATACAGATACGTATACATATACGGTGAGTGACGGCTACACCGGCAGCCATATCCAGCGGAGAGTGTTCATATAATTGCTATCGCAATAAAAGGTGACGCGATCACCTGCCTATAGTCATACACGTGCGATTTGTACAATTTCTATGTCACTCACGTTTCGTCCTTTCTTTTTTCTGGGTTTCAGAGCTTTTATTACGGTTCATGAGCGCTTAGTTTCACTTAGTTTCTCGACTCTCAGAAACGTTCACGAAAAAAAATCGCGTCTTCAATAAATCAGCTGTCTTTCGACTGCACCACTGGTGTTACAAATTTTTCGTTTAACTGCAACAAGTGTTATCGAAACCCTCAGAGTGAACGCCACGCAACATAAATTCTTCATTCACAACTATTTCATTCATGCTCTTGAAATGGCTCTTCGAGATAACAGTGCCTCCAGATGCCAAACTGCTGTAGTATGTAAAATAACACCGTTCCGCCGAGTCATAGCCGTCACACATTAAAACCACAGACTTTACGAAACAAGGCCTCGACGCAACACCTAAAGTCCCTTGCGTCGTCCCCTCTTATCTACGTATTACGAAAGTGTAGCTGTATACATTCTCGTAAAAGCACATTGCCGTACGGCCATTAAAAGAAGGAAAATGGCGAACGCAGAATAAGAACGATGGCCAAGACGGCATCGCAGGGAGAGTTCGTGCACGAGAATATTTGCCCTCACCCTCGTTGTGGGCACGCACTTTTGTATTAAAGTTTATTAATTGCTCCGGTATAACGTCCAAAAGCTACCATGCAATTATGGAAGACGCCGTTAAAGAGGGTTCTGAAAATTTTGTCATGCGCACCGAACGTTCTTTAACGTGCGCCTAAAATTAAGTCCCCAGCGTTTTCGATTCTACCGAAAATACAGCCGTCGCGGCCGGGATTCTACCAAGCAACCTGCGGGTCTACACTCGACTGTCATAACAACTTGAACTCCATGACGGTTACACAGTTTTCTCGCTTCGACGTTGCAGCAACGAGCCGAAATTTTTACGAGACAAAGCTATGGTGGCTAGAACAAAGCATAGCCTTAAAACGGAGACACAAAAAAGAAAAACAGGCAGCCCAATCTCTCATCTCGAGAGCTGATTTCAATAAGATTGAAGGTTTTGGTTTGATGGAATAATGACACGACTGATAAACACTTTCGATGGAGGTGAAAATGCTGTAGGCCCGCGTGCTCAGATTTGGGTGCGCGTCAAAGAACCCCAGGTGGTCAAAATGTCCGAAGCCCTCCACCACAGCGTCTCTCAGAATCATATGGTTGTTTTGGGACGTTAAATAATAAAAAAACATGTCTGATCAAGCACCTAAAGATAAAGACCAAGAAAAAATAAAAGGTACAAAACCAGCGCTCTTCTCCCAACTGACATTCTGCGTCGGTTTCTTTGACAGATTAATAATTTGCATATCTGCATAACACATTTATTGTCAAGTGACACGTTAGATCTGGTGATCTCAAACTGAGCTCAGCTTGCGGGCCACAGTAAATAAATTTCTTCCCGGAAGGGATGGAGAGAGAGCAAGGCTGGAGCGACGCTATTGGGGATGGGGTTGATGAAAAAATCGAACAAAGATAGGAAAGACGCTAGGTCTTTCCAATGTATGATATATGGGTCATCTCTTAAGGACATTCGGCGTCACAGGATTCAAAGAACACATCGACACGAATCTGCAGAATTGCTACAATATGTACGCCGATTACGTAAAATAAATTTTACGTTCGAACTTACGGGTTGTCTCAAGTACCAAAAGAAAGGACGCTTGAAGCCAGTCACATATTAGTAGCATACCCGAACAGGACGTTATTATAGTGAATAGGCTAGCAAATAATGCGAGTGCAATTTAGCAAAGTAAAAACAAAATCAATCGCACCGTAATAAAAAGTTATGGGATGAGCACAGTCAGAAACGAACGCAGGCCCCTGTTTTAGATGGAACCATTTGATTTACCACTTTTCCACCCCTCTCCTTACTGCGGTTATCTTTGTGTTTCATTTCGCAAAATAAATACGTCAGCTGCGAGAATAGCACTCATTCTGTGTTTTCGCGCTTTCTTTTTTTTCTTTATCCCGTGTCACAGGGCTGCATCAAACATGCCTGTTTATTTGGTTGTTCTTTATTATTCACCATTAATCACGAACAGGTCGCTGAATTTTCAGCCCTGACAATAATTCTTTGTCGTTTGTCCAGTTAGCCTACCGTAAATGAACCGGCCGAAGCCCGAGCTCACTGATGTTATTTTCGTGCCAAGTCGCTCATATATTACAACGCAGACAACGCTTCCCGGTTTATCGCAATCAGGCCAGATAAAAGCTAAACGCGGCCGCACCATGACGAAGTTTCACGGTAACCTTGTCACATCGCCCGCCCGTGCCATTTTTTTAAGACGGCACTGTAAGGCTGTACACAACCCACCTGACAGCCGAGAGGGCTCTTCAGTATACTTATGTAATTCACCTTTATAAGTGCAGGTCAACTTAATGCCCTTAGATAAACGCGATAAACACAGAAGTCGTCGCGGAGCGGCCGTGTATAGGCACTTGCCACAGCGCCTGGCGTCGTTTCAGCAAGTTATATCGCCGTCGCCAGCGCCGAAACGGTCTGCGCAGTGTGCGTAAAATCACCGCCTTATCGTTGCGTTTCCAAGGGCTCAAACACCCGTACGAGCCGGTTTTCTTACCCTTCTTTCCCGAATAATACCGCAGGTTGTGACCGCAAGAAACTGGGGCAGAAGTCCATCATCGCTTCGTCAGGGAGGTGGGAAGCAGACGCTACCGCTCCTGCGAGCGACCCAAGCTGGCGGGGATCCTTAGGGTCCAGGACAGAACCGAGGAGCCTGGCCGTCGCGTCTTGCTTTCCACGACGGTACCACAAGTTGTGACTTCAACTCAATTCCCAAAGCATGCAGTCCATGATAGCTCTATCGGAAAGCGAGAATCAAGCTCTACAGATTCAATGAGAAACAGAACTTTGCAGGGAGTCACGGAGTCCTAGTCAGGACCCTAATCACCTGCACCTTGTCGTCCGCAACCCTGGAGTTGGCCATGACTGAGATACTAACTGTGGCTCGGATCCCTCATCGCCACGTCGCATCAAAAGCCTACACCAGATAATACTGTTTTTGCAACAAACGAAGCTCAGACCCGTAGAGTGCGGGACAGTACTGAGACCACCGGCCATCGCATCGTGCTTCCCACAGCGACACTGCTCGCTGTGAGTGCTGTACACTGGAGCGCAAACCTACCATCGCTACATCATTCACGGCCTGCCCTGCCTTCAGATGCAAGCTCTTCTGCAAGCAACAAAGCCGAAAGAAAGAGGTAATGGTGTCCGGTACAGTGCTGGTCATGTCATCCTGTTGTCTCTTGGTGTTCACGGACGGGCATGTGACTGCTACGAAAGAGAACTTGGCGATGTCATCGCCAATAGGCCGACCAGCAGCGAGCGTGCTTGCAGCTATGGTGTTCCGGACCCTGCTGTGCACGCTGGTGATCTCGGCCTGCTCTCTTGCAGCGTTGGCGAGTCCTCACGGGGTCGCCATGACAACGACAGAACTGCCGTTGCCACCGTCGACTAAGAGTGTTCCAACAGTACGACCCACAGAACTGAGCAGCCTATCCGTACGCGAGTTCTACAATACCAGCCCTAAGCCAAGTAGAACAGATGAGCCGCCCTCAAATGGTTCGTACACATTGGCTTCTTTCACCATAACAGCTAGCTGCGAGGACTACTAAAGAATGAGCACTGTATTTTCGCGCCGTGACAGCCTGAAAGTTAAAGAACAGGAATGTACCAGATTCGCGGAACAGATAGGGCACCGCTGAAAACAGGAATACATCCTATAAGGTCGAACTTCAGACATAAACGGAATCATGCAGTTGTATTATTATGGGGCGTCTTAAGGCGCAATAATAAATGTGAGATATTCTCCAGAAAGTAATTTTCAACTCAACGATCTATGTTGACATAACTTGTTGCGAAGAACATAATTATCATATATTGCATAAAAGTTCGAGCAAGCTAAGAACCAGTTTATCAGGGCATGCCCTAGTGTTGCACTGTACACTATTTAATCTGGAACATTCTAAATTTGTCACTTCATGCAGGAGCGGGTCCCGGCAGTTCGAACCTTCGTCCCCTACCTCTTCGGCCTCCACTACCACGGCGGTACCGTCCCCGATTCGGGCTTGGACGTCCCACTCTGTCCAAAGGCCTGTACCCGTCCTTCCAAGTCTACTCGGCCAATGACGGCCGCGGTGCGCACCAAGGCGATACATCTGGACCGGACTCAAAGATGCCAAGCCAGCACAAAGACCATTACAGCAAGTCCAGCAAGGTCACCCACAATCCTGAGACACGCGAAAGCAAGGGTGCATCTCCAGTGCGGTCTGCGAGCCCAGAACCACGATTGAATGCAACGCTAGAGGCGACAACCAACAGCACTGTTGATGAAGATGCTACCGGCGTGACAGCCATGGTGTTGTCCGAGTCGACCATATGGACGCTGGCGCTCTGCGCCACCATGATCGTCGCCGCCGTTGCTTTCTTCGCGGTCGTTCTCGCCGTCTGCCGCTGTCGGCAGCAGCGCGAGCGTCGCAAGCGATTTATGAAAACGCATAAGAACATCCGGGTAATGCAGAACATGGTCAAGGTCGCCAAACGCCGCCAGAAAGAAGCGATGATGGGCCAGGGTCCCTTTGCCAGGGTCCTCCGCACCATGAGGCAGAGACAAGCTTTTTTGACAAACTACTCTGACACAGGTCGAAGAGATGACTGTTTGCATGCTTGTATTATACCGTGAGTGTGATAGGTTGTTTAGCGACCAAGACTTTCGAAGTCGCAAGGCACGCAAGCATGAAGCTTTCAGTCTATTCATTAACAGCTATGCTTTTGGCCAACGTTGACAGCCTAGCACTGGGGTCGAGTTTCAGTATCCCTACAGGCATATGAAACTACACATCGACATTCAAAGTATTGAACACCACATTACGACGCAATGTCATTCAGGAACCATATCACAGAAACTGGTTTCTGTGAACACGACTGCGCAATAGTAGTGATTCAATGAAAGTGCACTGAGCTTTGAAAAGTATCACTACTTCTTTTAATATGCACATATATAAAAGTGATTGCTAACACCTTTAAGAAAGCGCTCAAGGAAGCGCATTTGTTTGCCTCTGTATTCTTTTTTCGATTGACGACCTCAAGTCACGAGTATGATGCCACCAACTCGTTTCCCTAGTCTTCTGTATTCCTTGCTGTGCTTTCCTGTGCTGTGACAAGGTGCCAATAACGGTGTGAGCGAAACAGATCTCATGGCATATTTACAATGCCAGTAACTGTTATATACAACAGCGCCATATGTGGTCATCACAACAGGGTATTTTGCAGTGCCATTGGCACTGCAACAGTCACAAACCTGCAAGCTACAACAGTCACAAACCTGTGTTTGTATCCAAGTGACTGGAAGGGTGGCTTATGTGTCTTCCAAATTTTCGTCATAAACACCTACACAAAAGTTTTGTTACATCAACCATTTGGTTGCAGCTGCAGTGACCCTTTGTATGTATTTATTTGTGTGCCCTGCCATCTTAGAGGATGTTGACAATGTGTACCAATTTAAAGGTATTGCAGATGAACTTCGCCGCTTCTGCAAAGCCTTTGAAATCCAAAGTGTTCCTTGTCTCTAAAGCTTTACAGGCATGTTTTTCATTTAGGTTGTGGTATTTATGGAATGTTAACAATGTGTAACACTGCAAAGTTATTTCAGATGACTTTTACTGCTCCTGCAAGATCTTTCTTTATCAAAAGTGCTAGCCATCTTTTTACTAGTACAAACATGTCTTCAGTACATGTGTCTGTGTTTGTTGCGCTGCAGTTGCTTCAGCTATTCCAAATTTTTATTTTGTCACAATCTGCTGTTTTTGAAGGATTTTTTTCTAGTTATCTACAATAAGTACTCTGTTTACAGAAAACTGTGTCATCTTTCTCCTTCACAGAAAAGAATGAAACAACTTATGACCTCAACTAACAACCATGCGACCCTTTTCGGTGTCGCTATAATGGCCTTGCTACGACTACCAGTTCAAATAAAATGTGAGGCATGTGCGAGAACTAGGCTCGCTCAGGAACTGTGTAGCTGCAACCCAGGCACTAGCTTGATCTTGTAGGAACATTTATGCCTTGCCTTCGCACCCTCTGGCAACAAAAGGTGGCCCCACTGACCCAATCATGGTCACATCTCTACAAGTAACAAAATGCTTCATTGAGTGCCATATTGTCAATCATGGAAGTACTATGCCTGTAATGAGAGAGCTTCCATCTTACCTGTACAGGTCATATGTAAAGCAGTCCTTGTAAGGAAGGCTCTTGGCAAGAGGATGTGTCTGTTGAAGAATACAAATTACCCTCACCCCACTCTTGTCTCTCAAGATTCACTGAAATGTCAATCACTCAATGACAATGTTTCAAAGCAGTTTTCAATTATTAACCAAGGATGTCCCAGGCAATATTTCTTTTGTATACTTCAAATTTGCAACCATGAATATGTAGAAAAAACTGCTAGGTTAGACCCACAGCATGCAGTGATAAAAATGCACAAAAACAATGCAAGGATTCACTACAGAATTATATACTAAATCAAGCACTATTCAATCTATTGTACTTCTTTATAATATCAAAAACTAACATAATGTGATTTATGCTACTCAAACGATCACTGTCAGTGGATTCATTTAACACGACAAAGAACAAGCAAATAGTGTTAGTCCTTTTCAGCTAACTCTAAGTGAGCACAGGCTAAATCCTATGCAGCGATTGTTTGTTGATCTTTCATTCACCTATAATTAACCTTGTTTCACAAATAATTCACACTTCAATCACCACTGATTTCTCTTATGAACTTATTTATTTTATGTTATGATACATAGAGCTTGATGCCCCAAAATCACAATATGATTATGAAAGACACCACAGTGGAGGCTCTTGGCAATTTTAAATATCAAGTGTTCTTTAAGGTGCACGGACATTGCACGGACCTCTCAACTTTTCGCCTCATTCGCCGTGGTCGACTAGTAGTTACGGGGCTCAACTGCTGACTCACAGGTCGCCGTTTTCAATTCCGGCTCCGCTGGTGGCATGTCAATCGAGGCAAATTGCTAGAGGTACGTGCACTGCATGATGTCGGTGTACCTCACCAGATGATTAGAATTTTCGGAAGCCTTGGCTACGGCGTCATTCGTAATCATATCGTGGTTCCTGTTTGTTAAACTTCACATAATAAAATTGGCATTTTTCTTCTACAGAAATGCAAACCCACGACCGAGGTTGAATTTAGGGCCTTCAGGTCGGCAGCCGAGCACCCTCCACCACCCCGTTGGGCGATTACTTTTTTTCACATTAAGCAGGCTTGCAACTTTATTCCATTTCTATTCATATTTCATTCACATTTAATTTATTAATTACCAATCCCGCCAAGTGAATGAGGGTATCCACCAGGCACGACTGCTGGTACTAGGTAGCTTGTCCATAATTTTTTGTTTTCAAGTCGCATAAATGGCTGTAATCTAAATATTGCAAATTTAAGGATGAAGTTACACACAAGAAGCAAGAACAACCTTGGTAAACTGGTAAGTCATATGTTAAAATGATCTACTCACCCGAAAAATCTTGTGAAAGTATGAATACTGCCTAGCGATACTTCTGTGCAACTTCAATGCTTCATCTGTCAAAATAAACAGTGCATTCATGAATTACGCTGTTCATCAAGCCAATCTTTACAACCTTGATGTTGTGGCAAAAAAAAAGGTCTATTGAAGGTAATGTGAAAATTGGGTGGATTACATTTGGCATGGTAAATCAACACTAAATTAAAGCAGCACAATGCACTCTGAATAAGCAATATTGCAAGAGGCAAATACAGAACTAATTTAACATCACCACTATTACTATAAATGTTAAGAGTGTGCATGCACTGAGAAACAGCTTGGTGCAGCAAAAACATTGTGAACTTACCAAGTACAGTTGAACCATGTAGGAGTTCAAGTTCTTCAATACTGAAGTACAGTACAGTATTGAATGATGCTGGCAGAGTAGCTACAGATTTGTCAAGGAAACTCCTAAAAATCAATGTAATCTTACTCAAGAAACTATTCAAACAGCATGGTTTGATATGAAAAATTGAGTAACCAACACAACAATATGAATCAAACAGCTAAAAACGCAGCAGTGTTGTTTACTAGATCGAGTTTCATCAAGTGAAGTTGCTAGCAACAGCCACTTTTATTGGTCGGCCAAAATGAAGACCATCAGGAAGTCACTGGAACAGCCAGCCACACACAAAAAAAGATGATGTGGCAAAGCCCAGTAATGGCAACAGATCATCTGTCCTTTCCATTGAAGCAACTTAACCTGAAACAATTATGTAGTGCAGCAATAACATCCTGCATAGCGAGAAACGTTTAATGAACAGTTCCCAAAACAAAAGAGCAAAGATAACAGCTTTAGTACAACAGCATACTATGTAAAAAGTAAAGGCGGATAAAAATTGTTGAGCATTCTGTGTGGAGTGCTCAAGCTGTATTAACTGATACAAAACATTGATAACAAATACATAATACATAATTAAATGTGGAAATTTCGTATGGAAGTTGTTGAGTAGTCTGGAGAAGGATTGATTTTGCCAAAACCTATGCCAGTAACAAAGCGTGCCATATCCAATAATGCAAAAGGATACATATGTAAGGGTGCCAGAAAGATGATTCACCAGCACAGAACTCAAGGATGAGAAACATGGCCAAAGCCACATTAGACATGTTCATCATTATAGGATCATCTCTTAAAAGAGGACCAAGCTTTGATTTCTTTGCTGTAGCCGTAGTCATCATAAGCTTCAAAGGCACACCAAGAAATTGATTGCTTTCCTGAAATGTGTACAGCATAAATTTTAACAATGAAGATGTGATGCAAAGTAAGTCAGCAACCATTCAGTACAAGCTGGATTCTGTAAAAATGCCTGGAAAGCTAAACATGACTGAAAGCATTGGGCTAAAAAGCTAACAGCATCTCTTTTAATGTGCTTGTTAATTTCATATAACTTAGCCATTACCAGACAACACAAAAATTCTAACAAACACTTATTGCTCAAAAATGCTAGCATAACATGCTTTTCAAATGCAAAAGCTCACGTCTGGATGCCGTAAGACATTACAATTAGACAACTCATCCTAACCATCAATGACTGCCCAACAAACTTTTTTTTACATAGCACTTCGTAAACTCGTACTTTTTTCTTCAACTGAAGTGTTCAAATGAAGAACATTATAATGATGACGTTAAATTTCCCACTGAATTATAATAAATGTATAAAATTGTAGAAATATTAGTAGGCTTGAATTTTCAGGAAAGTTTTGCTACAATTTGCAGCCTCCTTTTTATCAACACATGCATTAAAATACATTACATCCTTCAATTATTGTTGTGTATTACATTCTAACATACTCCACAAGACACTGATACAATTGGGTCAGCTCTGCTAAACAGTATGCTTTAGTCTCATGTTTTTAGATCTCACAATTGAATTTTAAGAAATGCTGAGCACAATAATTCTGGTACAAAGCGTGCAAGACTTTACATCGGCAAGAACAAACTAACAAAGCAAGCGGCAACGTCATTTTACCTCAATTTGTTCATCAGCAATTAAGCCGTATTCTCCACCAGGTAAGTCTTTTATAGACACGCTTCCAAGATAAGCACCATTATCACAGCACCATTTGAGAAATGCCGGCCACATGTTGGATCGCTTTGGGAGGTTTGGAGATAGAGCTGAAATAATATATTAAAATGTATTAGGTGGGCCAGACTTCAATGCCGTAAAGAAACAAGTAGGCATAACGTTATTCTCTCACAATGCTACCCTGAAAATTCTGCAAAGCGACATCTTTTATATTCCGTATTCATATAATTGCCGGAGACTTCGAATCTCCTTGAGCCCATGCAAAGTATGTGCTGCCACACTTTATCACTTTTTAAGAACCATTACTTGAAGCTTTGATGCCAACTAGCACAAGTCTTTAAACACTCAAGATTCATAATATTTTAACAGGTGTAGAACATAAACACTAGTGATTTGAGATTGACATGTCTGAAAAGATGTATCACAATTGTGAATTGACAAATAACGACTGCTGAGCAACAGAGGGAAAGTATTAGTGAATAAACAAAAAAACACTAAAGGACAGCACGAATGCTTTGCAGTACATGTCCTGTTTTCTTCTTTTGCTTTCATGAGTATCTTCTGGTGCCTTCCACTTACACAGGACTTGCGCACTTGCCCAGAAAGCAATGTTACTAAAGCAAGCTTGCTATTACGCCTCTCATACTTTCTCAAGGGTTAAGCTGGAAAGAAAGGTGATCAGAAATGCCACTTCGGTGCCTGTGTGCTTTGGAATAAGGTCGTTTTTGCCTTAAAATGCCAATTGAGTTTTTTTTTTCTCTTGGAACTTCACAATATAGCTATGCCAGGAGAAACACTAACGCAACACAGCACTTGTGAACTAACTCATTCCTTGCTTTTAACTAACTATAATTAATCCTGATTATTGCTAAACATGAATTTCTGTGCAATGGTTAGATTTTTATTACACAGAGGTGTCCAATCTTCCTATGATCCCAAGCTGATTGCGCATATAACACATCAACACAGTCAATTAGTACAATATTTCTCTAGCGTATAGTAGACTTCCAAATTGGTGTTGCCCTCCACATGAACTTTTAAAGGGATAGAAAAAGACAAAAAAATAATGTGCACAAACTGCATGAAATGTCCGTCACACTTAAAGTATATAATTTTCACACTCTTAAAAATTCTGAATGCAGATCTCAGAACTTCATTGCAAGAGAACACTAAAATAAGCCAGGAAAGAAATACACTCACTGATATTTTTATCGCATCCGAGATCGAAATGCGAAACAAGGTGCGCAAATTCGTGGATTAAAACCCACACCCCTACTCACGTTTTTCCAGGTCTCGAACTTCCTGAAGCAGCTTCTGAACTTCTAAAAAATCTTTCCATTCCTTCTTTGCATCCCCGGAAGGCATTGTCGTGCATTCTGCATTGTAAAAATACGCCGGCTAGCTTTCGTACTTTTCATAAGTACTGCACGTAATCCACACCACGTACGCCAAGAGCAGTGAGAAGTCGAAAAGCATGCACTACTGAGACCACTGAAAAAAAACTCTTACTGTCCAGAACTTGATCCAGTAGTTCCCGTATCCTCAGCTGATCCTGGGATGCGAGCTTCTTGGCGCTTTTTCTGTCGTTTCCCCCCATCATGTAACGTGACACCGGTGGCTGATCTACAAGGAAACAGCCGAAATCAGAAAGCTCTCGGCGCCGATAATCCAATCAAACAAAGTCAAGGGGTCAGTAAAAGCCTTGTAAACTTGTAGAACAAAAATCTAGGTGCCTGTAACACGCTACACGACTGTAACAGTTTCTTAAAACTATTTTAGTTTTGCTAAGCGAGCACCGACGATTGCCTAGAAAGGCGTTACCACGCGAAGCGATCACCATCAGAACACGAGTTTACGAATTCGCGATCGCTATCTGGGACAATCAAGACTTAATTTCAGACACACTAGTAAATAGCTGGTTAGTGTACACGCAATAAGGCACTAGGAGTACGTATTTACCTGTAGATTTACGTTTTCCCGGCAACGACGCTGACTGTTATAAACACAGAGCACATGTGAAACCACGGCTAAGACCAGATTGCAGGACTGCTAGCGTCACCTGTGGAGGAACCCAATAAGTAACAAATTGTGTTTTGTATTCTCGTCAGCAGGTGCCGCCACAATGTCAACATGTTCCCACGGTGGCTCTTGTTATTCGTAAACCTGCTATTTTACGAGTTTGGCCCTGCCACGGTTTTGTGGCGTGCCGTGTGCGCTCCGCGTTCAGGGGCGCGGGGTCAGACGTTCGAATACCGTCGACAAGGTTGCAATGACGAAATTATTTCTTTCCCCGTCATAATCGTTCTTGATGACAAGAGTTCTGAGCGACCCCGTCGACTGTTTTGTGCAGCGTTTGCGGGCTGGCTGAGCTCACACCGTTCTTTTCCACCTCGGGCAATGAGATTGCGGCTTAACACTGTTGAATGGGGGCCTTTTGATCGCACTGCCAGAAGGCGTGAGCTTTTAAATCCCAGATGCTGGTATAACAACGACTATTAGTATCAACTGCATTCATGGTGTGCATTTTACAATGTATGCATTGCAAACACTTTGATATGAATTGCTTGAGCGATCGGTATCGCAATCGCCTTCAGGATGATGGGAAAAACTCAACCCAGTTGGTTTAAGCTTGCCTTCGAGTTTCTTCATAATGCTCAGACTGTTGTGCCGAACACACACACGAATGTATCCTTTATATGCTCGTGTGAAGACATTGATTCCTACTTATTTTTTTCATCGTATTAAAATATCGTTTCCCGCCGCCACTGTTCAATGCATTACTGCGGCCATGTGTTCATTTATTTTGTTTTTAGCACTCGCTTTGTCATCATTCGATACCATTCAATTATAAAAATATTCGTCTTATCCGCGCATATGACAGACGTAAGAACGGCACACATTGCATATATGAAGTCATATTTGTTAACAGTTGTAAAAAGTAAATGTCTGCGCCTGAAGGGCATTACGTTAATCACGGATAGGAACTGCAGCATACTCGATTACGATAGACATATTGAAATCCAACTGCATAAGCATACATTGAACAGTTCTTAACGGCCAACTCCGGCGATTTTTCGACCATGTTAGGGTAATAACGTTTCTATGTTCCTGAGACACTCTTGTCATGAGCCCAATAGCTGAAATCCTCAGAAAATTTGAAAAAGAATTTTTGATAAGCAAAAAAGTGCAATACCGAAACCAAAACCACTCCGGACACCCTATCGGCTTCTTACGTACTATTTGGTAAGAACCCGACTTTCGCCGGCGCGGAGTATGAAAACTGTGAAAGCCGGATTAGCGAAACGCCAGCCAAAGAGCACAGAGGAAGGAAGAAAGCTTTCCTGTGCTATAGACATGCCAAACACCACCGCCATCACCTTGTGGCCACACAATAAACGCTTTAGCGGCCAAAATAGTGATGTCAGTGGCTTCGTCACTTCCGTCGACAAGCCAAACATGACGTCACACAGACAGTGTTGCCAATAATTCTGGCAAGGGAGGTGAGCTTCTCGAGGCAATCTTCAAAATTCATTTGCAAGCAATCAGTGCATCTCTCAAAACTGTAATTTCGCATAGATAACGGGAATGTACAAAGGAACGTAACCAGAGAATTTCATTGAGATCAATTTACGTCGAAAAATTGCCAGAGTTGGCCGAGTGAAATAAATCATATCGCCAGATCAGTACAATTATGCTCAAAATTGTGAACAAAAAATTATCCGCTCACAAACTTCGAGGATGCTTCATGTATACCTAAGGGTATACCTAAGTGTATACCTAAGGGCTCGTTTTTGCGTGTTTTGACGCAATATTAATGAGATCAGCAGACAATAATGCCAAGGATTGTATAGGGGAAGTTATTAGAACCAATGTAATGTAAATAGGAAGAAAGAAAAGGGGCTAAAAAAATAACTTGCCGTGAGCAGGCAAGTTATTTTTTCAGCCACTTTCCTTGGGTAGTTGCAGTGGTACCACTAATTTCCAGAATACTACTTATTTTCGCAGCAATACCAAGGTGGCATGCACGAAAAAAAATTAATTGAATTGTCAATAGCACCACCTCATGTTTGATGATCTTTTTTATCAAGAAGGGTGGTGACACTTCGTGACGCATGCTATACGTACAGCGTACAGGTGTAAATTGTAAACGTTTGGTTCATAGTAAACTCGTGTAAAACTTCCATAATAATACAATTGCTAAAGTTTTACGTCTCAAAACCCGACGCGAGTGGTGAAGAAATTTCACCTGGGCTTCTTTAACCTGTAAGCTAACTCTGAGCACAGTAGCCTTTCGCCTCAATCGAAAAGCGTTTGCCACGGTCGTGATCACACTCTCGTTCTTCCACTCAGCAGCCGAGCACCACAATGGTATTATCACTGTGGCGGCAACACCTACGCAGAGCAAAAATAATTCGCCCTGAAACAGAACAAGCGAGCTGACATAAAGAAGCAGTACCCGCCAAAAGATTGCCCTTCCTAACAAACGGTTAACAATAAAGACGAAATGCATTCAAATTGACGGATACATGCATTATAGGACTCAAAATAGCTAATTGTACCTGAACACGCACAGTATCACAGCATTTAGTCACTTAACCAACCACGTTGCATGACTACTTGGTGATGAGCATTTTATTTCACAAAAGGTTCCCCCTGCAGTGCCAACGCTCATATTATCAAGCAGCAGTGCGATAAGCGTGTCGGACCTATTTCTATCTGCGTGTCAGTAAAATTGTTAAGTACGTGAATATAAACAGCCTGCTATCTTTTATGTGCCAGCCTATAACATACTTTTCAGAATGCGCATGTAGGCCAGGTTCCTAAGTAATCGCACTTAGGATGTTTCAGACAAGGTCATATCGGTCGCAATGGTTCCTCAGCGGGGTTAATAAAGAAATATATCCGCAGTGCCCGTATACTGGGGGAGGGTGTTTATCCCTCTATAACAAATGATCTGCAACGTCCAACGTTACGGGATACATGTACTGTACTCAAGATTCAGTCACCGGCTCCCGTGCGAGAGCACATTCCGACATGGAGTAGCCAGCGCTGAGCCAGGGACCCTTTCGGTTCTGCCCGACTACTCCATCCGGACCTCAACAACGGTTCTTGCCTGCCTGCCTGCCTGCCTGCCTGCCTGCCTGCCTGCCTGCCTGCCTGCCTGCCTGCATGTCTGTATGCATGTCTGTCCATCTGTCTGTCTAGCCAATTCTGTGCTGTGAAAGCCATTGTGCAGAGAGGCTGCGATTCCTTTAAGTTCCGTAATTTTTTTTTCTTTTTCCGTTTTGCTCTCTTACTTCTAGTTCATTTATTTGTAGTTTATTTTTCTAAAAAAGTCTCATTGTTCCAGCGGACGGCACTTATCAGCAAGGGCTGCCCTCGTCTCATCTCTCTCTAAGCGTTTTCCTCTCACGCCCCCTCTATTTTTCTGCCGTTTCATGGGCAACAGCTCTCCGCACCTCTTCCTCAATCGAGTGTTTCAATCCCCCACTTTACCTTGCTACCTAACTTCTAGATCATTCTTTGAATCGCCCGCCTTACCAAAGCTTTATCACATTTATTTATTTATTTATTTATTAGAACACCCTCAGGGCCCGTAGGGTATTACAGAGGGGGTGTGTACAACATTTTATAACACAGAAGAAAGAAGACAAAGAAAAGAAACAAGTGTCAGATGCGCAAATCACGAAGGCAACATAAATCAACTAAAAATGTATAAGTAAGAATTCAAGCACATACAAGACAAAGATAGATAATGGAAACTGCGTATAGTTACAAACATTGCTGAGAAATTGCAGTCTTTAATAACAAAGGGTCTGTTATTGTTACAACGGAAGAGGGAAGGTGGTTCCAATCGGCGGCTGTTTTCGGTAAGAAGGCTGCTGAAAAGAATTTGGTGCGGCAAAACCGAATGGCAACCTTATGCTGGTGATCAATGCGCGATGAGTGGTATGACGGTTGTGAAATGAGGTCTCGCTTCATTGATGGATTGTGAAAAAATATCTTATGAAAAAATGCAGTCGCACCAGTTTCCTCTGGACAGTAAAATTGAGCAGGTCAAGGTTAGATTTCATTTCTGATATGCTAGCAGTACGGGAATAATTAGAACAAATGAACCGAGCTGAGCGGTTCTGAACAGATTCTAACGCGTTAATTAAATTTTGCTGCACGGGATCCCATATAGCGGACGCGTACTCAAGCTTTGGGCGAATTAGTGATCGGTATTGTTCCCTTTTCAATCAAAGGTTCCAAAGTTTCTCATTTATATGTTTGGATTAATGTCCCTAAACCACCATATCATTATGAGAGACGCCGTAGTGGAGGGCTCTGGAAATTTCGACCACCTGGAGTTCTTTCACGTGCGCCCAAATCTGAGCGCACAGGCCTACAGCATTTTCGCCTCCATCGAAAATGCAGCCGCCGCAGCCGGGATTCGTTCCCGCGACCTGCGGGTCAGCAGCCGAGTATACCTTAGTCACTAGACCACCACGGCGGGGCATCGAAAGTTGGTGCTTGGTTGGAGCTCAATGGCCGTCAGTCATGTGTTTCTGTTTGTCGCAGAGATTTAGTAAGAGCCTGTGGTCACTCAGTCACCTGCTGTGGTCTTCCACTTTGGTACATTCAGCAACAGATTTTGTTTTTGGTGAACGAAATTACCGATTCCTTTCCGAAAGATCCCTTGCTGGGTAACCTGATACGATGTCATAATTAAATACAGCGCAAAAAAGAAGTACATGTACCCAACATCTTCGACAGCCGATGATGCCGAGCCAAACCACCGCGCAGTGTATTACATTTTCTGCTGGGATGTGTCGCGGCGCGCCGCCCTTATAGATAGCGCCGGTTTCTATGGCAACAATCTGCCTCAGCGATACGAAGCTTTCGTGGGCGAGCGGCGGTGGTGCCAAGTCCCGCCGTCCGACAGGAAGCGCCAACATGGCTTCGCAAAACACACCCGCTGTGGCGTAGTCCGATGAATACGACAGAATACAAATGGTGGCAGTGTTTGCAGGATTACAATCGTCACGTCAAAAAGGGTAGCCAACATTTCCTTCATAATTTAGCGTTGGTAAACGTGACGTTCTTGATCAATACGTCTGTATCTTTTGACGTGTATCGAATCGGACAGACTTGTACCTGACAGGCAACTCAGAAACTTGACGGCCTAGTAGTGTGTACTTCGCAAATGCTGTTGACGAACGTTGATCGAAAGTTTATTTATGAATACTTTCTTTTTTCTGTTGCGGCATGGCATGTAAGGAATAATATCAAGAAAACAAGTTTATTGTGTGCTGTTAGTTGAAGTGGCTAGAATTACGTACCGGATAATGCGACACAAGCTCGTCTCAGAACTGATCAGTGAGAACTGCGTGAGCTACGGTATGTGTGCATCATCGATCAGGCATGTCGCAACAGCTATTCTGGTGGTGGTGATGGTGACACTTTATTTTAAAAAAAATGGGTTTGCGTCATTAGTTTGTGCCTACTGTAATACTTCAGATCTAAAGCTTGAAATTAAGGTTTCACTTCGTCTCGTCCGTTATACAATTCATAGGGCGGATTGGCTCAAATTCTCTAGGAAAATTATCTCTTCTCTATTGTATTGTTGTACTTTATTAGTGCTAAATGACTCGACAATGGCCTATTCTATACCACTTCATTTGTTTTCAAGGCAATTGTTCTCATGATTCATGTGATGATATGTGGGGTTTGAGGTCCCAAAACAGCCCCATGATTATGAGAGACACCTTAGTGGAGGACTCCGGAACTTCCGACCACCTGGGGTTTTTTACCGTGCACACAAATCTTGCGTGATTTAATTCTATAAAGTTTTTATTTTATCTGTGAATTTAACAAACATTGAGCTCGAGATGCGGGCTGATTGATGTCGTCCACCAGGTTTTCTCTCCCACCTTTTTTTGTGTGACTACATCAATATGTTGAAAAACAGTATTGTTTCTTTCGCTTCTTTCTTAGATATCATAAATCAGCAGTATTATTTTTTCAGCTTTTGTATTCACTGCGGGTTTCGTATGCCGCAATGCTGTGGCTCTATATGACGCCCCGCTGCTGAACGGAAGGTTGTGGGATCGATCCCGGGTGCGGCCATCACATTTGGGCGGCAAAACGCTATAGGGACCCATGCGTTGTCATTGCATGTTAAAAACAGCAGATGGTCAAAATTTTCGTAATTTTTTTCTGAACGACGTGTGTCGTAATCATGTCACCGTCTTGTAACATGAAACCCCATATATAACCGTTGATCAGTAGTGCCTCTTGCTTTTCTCGTATCTTTGCAGACGACGTCATTAACTGCCTCCAATCAAGCTGCGGTTGATCTGTAAAGTGCTCACTAGATCTAGTTTATTTGAAAGGTCGCTAGGTAAGAGAGTTACAGAATAGAAGAATGAGAGTCTGTTGAAGCCCCGCCGTGGAGGTCTATAGTGGCTAAGGTACTCGGCTGCTGACGCGCAGGTCGCGGGATCGAATCGCGGCTGCGGCGGCTGCATTTCCGATGGAGGCGGAAATGTTGTTGGCCCGTCTGCTCAGATTTGTGTGCCCGTTAAAGAACCCCAGGTGATCGAAATTTCCGGAGCCCTCCACCACGGCGTCTCTCATAGTCGAATGGTGGTTTCGGGACGCTAAACCCCACATATCAATGAATGAATGAATCAATCAATCAACCAACCAATCAATCAATCAATCAATCAATGAATCAATCAATCAAAAGTCTCTTGAAAACCCGGATTTCATAAGATTCTTATCACAATTGGTACGTCACGCTGATAGCGCGCATGCCATTTGTGATCGGAAAGCGCCGGTCGCGTGGCCATAACGCCAGGAGAGGTAGACGATAATTGTAGTTGTTTGGCGGAAATACTCAACGAATCGATTTTTCTGCAACGAATTGCAACGGATTGTATCAAGCACTTCGTGCACTTTTTCTTCCCCTTACAGACGCATTTTTTATTAAATTTATTTATTTATCTATTTATTATTTCAAATGCCCATCAGTATTTTATAAGATATGAAGTACTGAAGAAGCGAAAAGGGAAAGAATAGACTGACTGATGCATGTGTATTTTAACCATTACATTGGATTTGTAGTATTGTTTCGTTTCATTCTTTCTGCACGCATATTTTTCCTAAATTTCGGTGTGGTAAATACTCACGCTGGTGTCACCCAGTTTTTTTTGGTCGACCAAAACTTGATAAGGTTAGTAAATTGACACTTGCGAAAATGTCGTATGATAGTAGCAGCAAAAGAACGGGCTCAAATGACAACAACAAGAATAGTTATGGTTCCTAAGAGTCATATTTCAAAATCGTGCCGAATTCTCGTAAAGAACTGTAAAACGAAACGGTGCGATCAAAAGTGCGACCCACGTTTTATTGTAAGAGGTTCCATTACATAGATATATATTAAATAGTAAGTAGTAAACTATACGCTTGTGCGATTGTGGGAACAGAATGACTTAGTGACTCCGGTTTACTCTTCTCTGAATACAAAAATACCGAACCGTCGGGGTCAGCACGCTGCTTATTCGAAAACTCCTTGGCCACTTGAGTTGATTATTGCGCCTGGTAACTTGATTACAATATCAAAATGGCTTATTGATGTCTCGTAGGGTGTAGGGAACCACTTTTCGCACATAAACCGTTGTTGGCTTTTTTTAGAGACGTCCGTACCTTTCACGTCATATACCCGGGCATTCCGTAGCACGAGCTCTCCAGAGGGGTCTCTGATGCGGTGGCTACACTGAACAAAACACTTGCTTTGCGGCCCTTGTACTCAAAGGTGTGAGCGATCGAGCCACTTGTGCTAATGACATACATGTCCACCACGGTTTTAATTATCACAAACTTTCATCGCCCATTCACCCTACACATATTTCACGACGTAGTCATGCTTTATTAATTCTATGCTTTTACGCGCCTTTGCACGAGAAATTTTAGGGCCCTTATAAAGCCGCTTATTACAATCATTGCCCAGATATCTAGTCACATGAACTGGCGCTCTTTGGCCATGAACTGGCCCTTGCACCACAAAACACCAAACATCATCAAGGTCTTGCAGGGTTTAAGATACATGCTAACAACGGTGCAGCCTTATCATGCTCGCCCGACATTCTTTCCGTCTCTGCTAAGGTTAGGTCGGCACACCCGCTCATGAGCCGACTCAGTCAGGCTCAGACTGGACCTTTAGTGTGAGTCTGACCGTATCCGGTTGGGTAATATATTGGTGAGGTTTACATCGAGAGAGTTTGGTTGAAAAAAAAATGCTTTTAGTGAGTCTAAGTGGGTCCGGTTGAGAACAATTTTGAGGATTTAGAGCTCGAGTGTGGCCTAAGCACAATATATATTTCTTGGCAGTGCTCTACTCTCTTTTCCGACCTATGGGATTAAGACACCTTAATGACAACTGCAGTAAGTCTAGACGACCAATGCACAAGACGTAAACTGTGTGACGAAACTTCCGTGTGTGGTAGAGTAACAACTAGCCCTACAGCCTTTACGTTAGGCAGGTGATTATCTTTCTCAAATGCTATTCTCTCTTCCAATCTAGGGGTGCGCCCGTCGAAGGCTCGGTGAAGGACGCCAGCAACCTGAAGAGGTCGGGGACAATCCTCCGTTGGCGAAGTATATGACGCGGCGTCATGGGTTCAGAGGTGCACTTCCGGGATCTTCCCGGAGGTCCGATGAAGATAAAATTCGCCGACGAGATAACGCGGCACTGCCTGTGCAAAAGTTGCAACATGCTTTCTCTCACCATGTACGCCGATCCAGCATCGCACTTCTTCTGCGAGACCTGCATACTCATCCAGAGCTACAAGCACAAGAGGTACGACATCTACTGTCCTGAAGAACGCAGGAACGTCTCCTTCGAAGAGGTGAGCTCAAGGACTAGGGTTCGATGACCGGCCTCGGCGGCCGATTCTTCGTGGTGACGCAATGTCATCAACTTCGTAGAGTGCACGGAAATTGAGACATATTTAAAGTTACGCCACCTAAAGCAAACCCTGGCATTTTGGAATGCTTTTATAAGCTTTTTTGGGCGCTTTTTGGCATGACCCAGCTTTTATTCGAAGTACGTGGATGGCCTGCTAGCTCCCTACAGAACCCAGTATCATCTAGGCTAGGGGTAGGTCTTCTGTGACGCACGAGGCAGTATTATGCATTCCCTGGCACAAGGTCATACCACCTCCCCCCACCACCTTAATAATCGATAAAAACCTCCGCGACTATCTGCGCCTGTCGGGGAACAACCTTGATGTAGACATTTGCGAGATGGCTAAGGATATTCGGCACCTAAGTTTCATTCAAGCAGCTCTCTTCTTTTTTTTTTCCTGTAATCTGCTCGTAAATACAGCCTTGTGGCATGCCTGCTGACACCATGCGTATAGAGGGTTTCTATCCCAGTCTCGAGCAGCACTATTGTCATTTCGCCAATTTTACCAGTTTACCTGCATATTTCCCTTCCCCTTTGAGTGGCAGTGCAGCCCCCTCCACGTCAGCTTCATGCGATTCGAACCTCCGACACAATAGGTGGCCGTCCCGTAATCTAAATGAACTATTGTGCACGTTGTTCGGCTTATGTTCATCAATTTTGGGGGAAAACATCGAAAAGACAGATTATGTAGCATTCTTCATAAGGTTTCTTTCAAAATTACGCAAGCTGTACACGATAAACAATCTTCTATAAGTGCCAGCTTGCCTTTCATCATCCAAATGCTTTCTTAGGCACTGTTTTCCCTCATGAAGTTGAACAGTTCACGACACGGGGTATAAAGGTGTCCAAGATTTCATCGCACCGTCTAATTTATTTCAGCTGTTTGAAGCTCGGGATGTGATCATGATACTTCGTGACCAGTTAGTGGAGTGCCCAAATCGGCAAAATTGCACTTTGAAGATTCCTCTCGAGCAACTTGAGGTAAGACTGACACACTCCTTCCATCATGCCTGTTGCTTTTCATTCTTTGGAAAGAAGGAATAAAGTTGGATCTTTACATCTTTCAAATTATTTCACACATTAGACAGCTGCATCCCCATGATGCAAGAAAAATTAATGCAAGCAGAAAGAGACAGATACTGACTAAGATCTTGCCACTCAAGGAAAGGTGCGAACGAATGGAAAGTCATGGTGTCCAGCATTTGTTCATTACAGCTTCGTTATACCCTATGGTAATGGCCTTGAGCAATGGCTTCAGTAGTGACTTCAGTAATTGTTTCGTGTACAGCTAACGTGAACGTTGTATGGACGGAAATCATGAGACGCATTTCTGTAGTTGGACCACCGGACAGCGAATAGATTAACACTGCTTTTTACGTGAACTATGCCGAACTGCTTTGAAAGAGTTCTTTTGCTGGAAAGTTCTTTTCTCTGGTGCAATTCATTCTCTCACTCACGCCATTGCAAAAGTAGGATCATTACAATGGCACGACCAGACTGCATCTGATGTTGGGGTTCTTGGTGCAAGCTCTTTACATATGGTGTTTCCGCTAGAAATATTTTGATTACTGGTCCCTTTTCAAGACTGCATTTCCATATTCAGTCACTGCCTGTACCTGCTGGCGTGGGCTAAGAAATGAATTGCATACCATTTGTACAATCAAAATTCCTGAATTACACAAACGTAAATAAACAAAATGATTTGCTTTGAATTATATCACGTAGCCTCGTTTCTGCTTCTAGTTTTAAAAAAGGAAATCTGTTTGATTATCTGATATTGCTTGCCTTCGGACTAGTTGGCGCATCTTTGTTAGATTTAACTAGGTGCCTAAAACGCTTGAACGCAAAAACGCAGTCAGAATAGACACAGTATTGTATTGCGATTTATTGTATTATGGTGAGCTTCATTGCACCAAAAGTTCTTGAATTAGGCAACTGTTTTAAATAAAATACAAATGCCAGTACTTTCACAAATTAAGCACCAAAGAAGAGTGAGTTATCAAGGGAGTGTTAAGAACTCAACCAAAGTCTGTCAAGAAAATATGTTCTTGTGCAAGTTTACAGGACGGGCTTGGCTGTCGAAATTGTTTTTACTAAAGTACGGAGGTATATATTTCTTTGTTTATTGAACGCAATGATAAAATTTAAAAAAAATGTTTATTTGATGGAAATTAATGACAGAGTAATTTGTCTGGGTTAGAGCCTACTGGCTTTCGAGAAGTCTCGAAAACATTAGAAGTGTTTTAGGCTTTAAACGGTACAAAATTCCAACTGTTTTCATTGGGGCTATGTGGTCAACACCGTGTTCTGCGATAAAGAAATGCGCTTTTTTTTACACTTGACATACGCCAGCTATGTTCTCATTCGGCACCCCACCGATATTTCGCTTTACAGAGTCATTACATAGAGTGCATGCACTTAAGAAGCATCAATTGTACCAAGTGTGGCAGAGAAGTTGAAGCAACTTCTTGGAACAAGCACAAGCCGGACTGCAAGCCGACATATGACACTAAATCCACGTCACAGGTAACTTGTATGTTCATACGTTTTATCTGCACTTGTCATCGTAGTCATTACCACTAGCTGAGCTTGATACTCTTCGTGTTCTCTAATTTAATGATAAAAATAAAACTGGCGCCGAGAAATAATTTTTGTTGTTGTGGTTGTTGTTACTGTTCATTTTTAAGGTGTAGAAATAGGCACTGCGGAGAGGCCATCATCAACTTAAAAAAGGAGTCGAAAAAAAATTGTTCGCGCATTCTAAATGTGAAACATAAAAACAAAGTATTCTTGTCATCAAAGTCTAAAATTTTTATTCCCGCTTTGAACCCATTTATATGTCAGCACTTATATGCACAGGTAGACGACCAGGATGCCCGTTTATAACTTTTCGCTTGTGCTGAAAAAATAGGCACTGTGCATGATACGTGAAACTTATGAAACTACGTGAAACTTATGAATCTGACAGCAAAGAGACAGTATACTCTATGCAGGTATAGCAAACACAAAGGACAAAAAAAAACAGAAATAACAAGCATTTCATATGATGTATGTTTTTATTGAAGTGCAATATTATGCTAGCTATAGATCGCTTTACGTTTAAGAATGATGCAGCCAACTCTATTTCAGGAATCAAACGGTCGAAATAACATGCGAGACCATCCAGTAGCGTCTCAATCAAAAGCACAAGGATTAACTTCGAAGAAGACTGGAACAGCTAAACATGCAACAGGGACCTCAAGCGGCCTGTATCCCGTAGACCAGCTTCGACGCATGACCAACGGTGACCACGGTCGAGAGCCCTCGAGCACTGAGACTGCAAGTTTGCCTCCCTACCTAAGAGAGAAGGTGTGTCTTTTTTTAAACATTCATTCCAAGATGCCTCTTCTGTCGATGGCCATAAGGTGCTTCAGTGTGTTCACTGCAAATTCCAGTTTTTTTTTTCCGAAGCAGTTAGAGAAATACATCACGCACCTCAATAACATCGTAAGCTGGTGAAGCCCGTTGAGAATCTTAAAGGATGCACACTGTAAATGCGTGCAGTGAGTGTATACAGTAATAGTAAGTGCACGCGCTTCAAAAAAAAATGAAAAGGGCTCGGGCTTATCACGTGCGCTGACGAAGGAATGCAGCATCTTGCCCTCTTGTCATTTTTCCCAGTGCAACTTCACCGTGCTTGCTGGTACGACAGTATGGGAGAAAGCGCTTGACACGCACGAAAAAGCCCTGTAACTGCACTCGTACCTAATTGAACGATGGCATAGTCCCCCCTAATAATTTGTAGTTTTCTTCGAAGACTAGTTGTCGATAGTCAATTACACCTATACAGATATAAAAAGTGGGCTATGAAAGAATATTCGGGTGCAAAACAGTCCTTCGAATTCACCGGCTGTGTACCCCACCCACTGCCGGCAACCGCCATTTCGCCAGGGCCCCTGTGACGTGAAGTGCAGCAAGGAATAGTGCTGTCACCGCCCACAACAGTTTCCGCCGCTACAGAGTGCGAATTTCAATGGTAAGCTGGAAAAAGCTCAAGTATCTCGATTTTATGCAAAGCTGACGACGGTCATGAAGCATGCACTTCATGCGAACTTTCTAAGTATTACCTCTGCATAGTCATTTAGTATTATTATTACTATTATGATTAGTAATATTCTAGTGCTAATATTATTCTGTGCTATAAGTAGCTATGTTCTGCGCTATGTTTCTTTGTATAGTTCAATCATGTGTTTTTTTTTGCTTTTTTTCTATTTTAAACATTGTATCCAGTTTGATGTCCTTTGTCGCTGTGTAACCGCTTGCGCAAGTATGTAGGTATGTCACACAATTGGTCCCTCTACTAGCCAGTTAGGCTATGGGACCAAACAAGTGTTTGCGAAGTTTTTTGTTACATGAATGTGAAAGTTACAATAAAAAAAACACTTTATCATTTACCCCGCCGTGGTGGTCTAGTGGCTAAGGTACTCGGCTGCTGACCCGCAGGTCGCGGGATTGAATACCGGCTGTGGCGGCTGCATTTCCTATGGAGGTGGAACTGCTGTAGGCTCATGTGCTTAGATTTGGGTGCACGGTAAAGAACCCCAGGTGGTCGAAATTTCCGAAGCCCTCCACTACGGCATCTCTCATAATTGTATCATGGTTTTGGGACGTTAAACCCCACATATCAATCAATCAAAGTGGCCTGTCATGGCCCCTTAAACTGTTTTCAGAATATTTGCGGGATGTGATTCGGGAGATGACGTGTGCTGATAAGGAGGCTAATGCATTACTCCTAGAAAGAGTGTGCGAGGGCTCCTTTGCAGGACACTGGTACACTACAAATCATGATTTTGGTACTGCCCACCAAATGTTCACAGCCCCATTTTTATTGTTTTATAGTTGCCTGTGTCTAAATGCTCTGAGTTGTCCGTGGTCACTACCCGCATAGGTAGACGTTTTCACCGAATGTGAATACTTCACCACAGTGTCATCACCGAAATGACCGTCACCATAGCTCAGTGGTAGAGCCTCACACCCGTTATTCGAAGTGGGCAGGTTTGGTTCCTGCTTGTGGCAAGTTATCTTTTTGTACACTTTTCTTTCCAAAAAAAAACAAAAAAATGACTTTTCTGTCCCAACTGGCTAACCTCCCTGTCCCTCTGCCTAAACTTTCCTCTTTTCTGGCCTAATATTTACAGAGTAAATCACCTTTCTACTAATCTGATACTTTCCTTGACAACTTTTGTCTTTTAGTTCTCATTATTATCAGGCGAACGCTAAGATTCTATACACTTGCAATGATGCGGCATAACATACAAGACTGCCGTTCTGCTCTCTCTCTCTCTCTCTCTCTCTCTCTCTCTCTGCGTGTGTGGGTGCATGTCTAGCGACCCTTCCCTCCTTTTTTGCTCTTCTTTCCATATTCTTCTTCCTTTCCCCCTGTACAGGGTTGCCTAGCAGTTATGCCAAATTAGTTGACATTCCTGCCTTTCCTCTCTCTCGTCTTCTATTTTTTGCTGACTCTTTCTACTATTACAGCCGCGGGATGACGCTGCCAGCGAAACTGAAAAGACTTTGTGCCCCTACTGCAAGAGGAAAGTGAAGGTTGAGAATATGGAGCGTCACCTTGAAATATGCTACGATTCGCCGATCGAGTGCCGCTTCTGTAATCAACAGATCAGCAAAAAGGATAAAAAGGTGAGCATATTAAACGAACTTTATCATAAATCAATTATTCAAAGTGTAAAGGCCTTGAGCAATGAGCAACAAAGCATTCCGCAGTTTTTGTGCTGTACCCGTGGTCACTTAAAGCGCACCCAGATACACGGACGAAGAAGGATTACACGAAGACACAGCGCTTGTCTGCGTGTGTGCTTTCATCGTCCGTGTCCCTTGTTTCACTGTGAGCTGTTATGGGTCTTCACCGAATCACCGGGTCTAATACCTTGTTACAGTTCAATTAGTGCTTAAGCCACGAAATTGTGAGGCACGTCGTACTGTAAGCTAATATGTTAATTTTGTCCTTGTGCGTTTTCGAAAGTACACCAATTTCATGTACACGTGTGTTGTAATTATTATTCATAGTTTTCTATCATTGAATTACGAACGCTCAGGCGTGGAGCTGAACCAGCGTCTGTGGATTTACTATCGCCGCACAGCGGCTGTTAAGCTACGAGGCCTATGTCACTGGCTCCCTTGAGACTCTCAATAAACATTGTTCGTGTTCGACGATGAACAATCATATACGCTTTAGGGGAAAGCGTAAAAATATATTACGCCGTGTTGACAAAGTTTGCGTTCTTTTCACTAACCAAACATATATAAGAGCTGTGTGTGTTTTTTTTTTGGGTATTGTGAAGTGATTATCGCGAAGCGCAATGGCTGCCATGTTTCTTCGTGAGTGCCTTTTTTTTTCCTTCGTTGCGCTGCTATTTGGTGTTAAGATTCCTGGCTCATTCAATACCGGTGCAAAAGGAAACGAACACGTAATACACGATACATACATACATTGTGAACTGCTTGCCACCAACATCGCAAATTTAAGAGTATGTACTATACACGGTTGCGTAAACTAAGAAAGATTGCAAAGGCAAAAGTGCATTTTGTCATGGCAGACAGAGTATTTGTGAGCATAGTTTTTTTCTCTGTATAAAAATTAGAATCATACTTTCTAAGAAAAATATGATTACAGGTTTCCTGTTCGCACAGTTGCAACGTTCCAGTGTCTTTGTGCAACCGGACGAGCAGCTGTTGCGATTTCAATATTCTCACACAACTCTGGTGTAAAGAGCGCTGGTGCATGCTCCAACAGAAATAGACAATAACAAATGTTGAATGAAACATACCTAACAGTTGAGCAATTCAAACATATGACTTGCAAAAGATAAAAATCTCGTCAAAACATTTCGAAGAACTATCCCGCTCCATAAATGGGGCAGCGGGTTCTGCAGGGTCAGGACCCCGACCCCTCTTTCTCTCCACTGCTTATGTAGTGGGGGTCGTTCAGGGTAACAATCGCTCGCTGGCAAAATGAAATCGCGGAATCATATTAACGCTTGTGCTCGATATTTTGTCCATACAATAACCACTCGCCAGTGATAACTACATTTACAGGACCACGTTGACAACTGCCAGCGAGACTTTGAAAAAAGAAGCAAGGTGAGACTATTCTTTCGCATTCTTACGCATTTCTTAATGCAGACAACAGGCTACTTTACTTAACAATGCGTCGTCTTATTTAAATAAAAAGTAGTCTATTGAAGCGTAATTTGATGAATAAGTCAAGTGATCTGATGGTATTCTGATGGAAAGTGTCGATAGCTTTTGCGTAAACAAACAAAATGAGTTCTGCACACAGGAATATGAATCATAGGTGACATTGTTTGTAGATTTAGTTGTGTTGTGATAATTATCAAGTAAATTGTTCTGCATTCAATATTAGGTGCGCTAAGTTCACCGATGGTAAAAAATAACAAGAGGACCAATATGGGCTAGTGGATTCACCGCAAACGGGCTTCCATCTAGCACAGCAATAGGCGTCGAAAAATATGAAGTAATAATAGATAAAACCGCGAATTTCAAGATCAAACTTTCACACAAAACAGCGTTACAAAAGTACTGAACCTTTTAGCTTTGTAACATTTGACATAGAAAGAAACGTTGAACCAGTTTCGACAATCTTGAAGACAACAGCTTATACATTGCAAACAAAATCAGCTTTTAGGGTACGCGTAAATATGAAATTATTTAGCGGATCATTGCACCGAGGTTTGCTTACCCAGTGATGTACACTAAAGCTCGCTTCCACAGTGGTGACCCGCAGGAAAGATGCAATCGTTTTTTATTGTCAGTATTACATATTGCACTTTTCTTCATGCCCGAATAAGGGTCTTTTCTATAGTTTCTAGCACATTTGACCACGAAACGCTAAAAAGCTGTCGCTGACGCTATTTTCGTCTTCCCTCAAGCGGTCGCTCATCTACAGTCGACCACAAAAATTTACGGACCTCGTAAGCGCGCGACCAAGAGCCTCTTCGCAACTCTTTTGCTACTTCAGCGCCGATCGACAGCGCCAGAACACCCGAGCAGCATCTCTCCCAAATTTTTTGCCTGTCTTTTTCCTTACTGGGTCCGAATAATGTTTACTGCATTTCCGATGGAGGCGGAAATGTTGTAGGCCCGTGTACTCAGATTTGGGCGCACGTTAAAGAACCCCAGGTGGTCAAAATTTCCGGAGCCCTCTACTACAGCGCCTCTCATAATCATATCATGGTTTTGAGACGTTAAACCCCACAAATCTAATCTAATCCGAATAATTTTTAACTTTCACTTCTTAACGCGACGTGCTTTTCAGTATCTGCGTGCACGCAATTCTGTTTCGAGAGCAGCCTATGGGCGTAACTAGTATTCCCAGTCTTTATCTTATCTCTATCGCAGAGCGATACGCAGCCTCTAGGCCGATCGAGGCGCGTCATGATAGCTTTGATCCTGCTATGAAAATAGAAATCGGGTGGTCATGCTGCAGATAAGCGCTTCGCGAGAAGACTGCGAACTAACAATGCGCCAGGCGGCTGTAAAACGTCGAAAGACCATTAACAAGAGTAGCCGTTTCCGGCTTAGAACAGTGGTCGATGGTAGATGGCGCACTACTAGATGGCATGGATGTGCAGATTGGCATGCGCTCGCATGGTCCAGTAGCTTTCGTGATTGACTGTATGTGTACGACCTATGCAACAATTTGCGCATTAGAGGCGAATGCGATAAGCAACGCCTACGGCACAGGAGACGTACTGAACTATGTGTTTTTCATGACTGGCTTACGTTATGGTCTTTACTGGATTGGTGGTTCTATATGGTGTGCCTTGTTTAGTGTGCCAGGACCTCTTGAGTCCCCGTTTCTTAGAGTTCTTTTCATCATGCAATAAGCATTAACCAACTTGCCTGAACACATGTCGGGTTAGGTCAAAAGGTACATCTTCTCAAAAGTTAGCGTCACCTCTGTGCCGTAAAATGGGTAAAAGGCGCGAACACAACGACGGACGAGAAAGACGCACCCACAGTTGGTGCCGCTTTCGAACAAAGTTCATTCAGGCAAAAAAAAGAGAGAAAGAAAACGTTGGTACTCGCCACACAGATAGCGCTGTCACATTAGTTCACTGCGCATGTCGCATTCAGAAACGGCAACCCTTTCTGCGACAGAGATACGGAGCCCACCCTCAAGCAGATATCCTCTGCTTCAATGATATATCTTTTTTTTGTCTCAACGATCTCCCCTGCCCTTGGTTGTATTCACGCCTTTTATCTTGAAAAATTTAATATTAACATGCCCACTTCCTCACACTAACTCTATACACCTCGTGCTACGAGGATTAGACGGTCGACCACCTTCACGGAATTAACTCAGCAATATGGCTCTTGGCGCTTTTTTTGTCCTTATTTTTTCGCCTTGCGTTTCGTTTTTACCGTTTTGCGCAGTATGAACCAACTAGCCCGATAACATGTATAGGTGAACTTCTTTTTTTTTTCTTGCTTTGCGTTCATCATTTTCATAGGAGCCAAAGAAGGACGAAGTGGCCAAGACAATCGATGGCCAGCCACGACCACAGCCTTCCCACAGCGTCAACGCGGCATACCAGGGGGCAAGTTGCAACTCATTACGCGCAAGTGGTGGCAGTCACGATCCGAAAAATGTGTCGTTTTGCGCGAAGCTTGGACGCATGATCAGTGCAGCCTTTTGTTGCTGCTGCAGTGATCCAAAGCGCGGAGGTTGCCATTAAGCTCTTAGCATTAAGTAGGACTCTCCATTAAGCCGTAGGGCATTGAACCGCGGGTGAAACTTCTAGTGGCAAGGTCCCTTTACTGGTCTTTTTTTTTTTCAAACACCCTTTTTCAATCACCCTTTAGCCGTATACCCCTTTGCCAGCAAAGAATAGTTAACTAGTCTAACACTTAGACTATCTAGTCAGCTAGCCCAACATCCTTGTCCTTCCGCTTATTTCGTCCCTTTTTCCTTCCTTCCTTTGAAAGTCATGGTAGTGAAATGGGAGCAAGAGGCGGTACCGGGTTTGATCCCAAGTGCTGGCCGGATGGCCACCGCTTCAATTTCAACGGCTTGGAGCAGGCTTCCACGTTGTGCTACGGGAGTATGAAGGTTTAGCGGTTTGGGAGGCTCCCGAGTCGGTGGCACCGAACCATTAGAGAGAGAGAGAGAATGTATATGAAAGACAGAGAGGCTAAGTAGAGTAAGACTCCTGTTTGTTACCCTCAGCTTGAATAAGAAAAAGAATGAAATAGAAGAAGAGTTCGTGACATTAATGACACCAGTATGTTCTCTAAAGACGCGAGGGGCGGGGGCAACGTTTTTTGGAAGCGTCTTCGCACTCAGCACTCCCAATATTGATAAAGCCTGAAGAGAAATCTTCGAATTGGACGTCGAAAAGATGCGATGGCAGGCTTCTTTTTACGGCCTGCCTTTGGTCCTCTGTCTTTCCAAGAGTAGAGGTCGAAAGAGAGCAGTTCTTGGCATGCAACATGAGGGATCAGCCATTATCATAACAAAATTTGCATGGCCGTTATCTTGGGTATAAAACGGTGACGACTTCGGCTCGATAGAGTAAAGATATGCGGCGCACTTGGACACCCTTCTTGGATGATTAGGTGTCCCGTTCCTCCTGTCCTCGTGTCCGGTGCGCATGTTTATACTCCCTTGAGCGTTTCGTGAAGGCTCCTTCTGTAATTTCAGTGACAACATAAACCCTTTTTGTCTCACTAATAGTGGCCGAAAAAGTTAAGAGGAGGACTTTTTGTGATTTCGTGAAATGTCGTGCCAAGCTTTAGTAATCTGCCTTGGAATGGGCGTTTCTCGGATGGATCTAGTCACGGTGTTATAACGGCGGGTGATTCAATCTCCTAATTTATGTCCCTAGTTTGACCTCAAGAAGTGACACGAGGAATTACTGCGTAGAGTTCGAAATCAACTTTTAAATTATATCAAGATTTTCGTATACAGGACTAATCAGTCTTGCTTTTAATGTTGACGCGATCCGTGTAATTGAATAAACTGTATTTTCTCCTAATAATGTACATCTTCAATGGCGTTTGCATACGCACCCGAGCGTACATGATATCTCGGGCATGCATTGAGCCACGGCAATTAAAGTTCGGCGTCATTTCTTGCTGTTCTTGCATCGGTTGTAATTCCGCACGAGTGTGCACAATCTGAATATTATGTCTTTTGCATTTTCGACAGGGAAAGCTACTATGATGTAAAATTTTTCCTATAATGTGTGCACAAGCAACGATGTATGTTAGATATCTCTCATGGCTCATCGCATGTGATGTAATGTATATCCGTAGATGAAACTTTTTTTGACGTGACAATCACTTAGGGTGCAGTTCAAATTTGTGTTTATGGGCAATCGATTCTGCGCTAAAATTGACGACTTCGCATGAACATTTTCTTATTTATGATTGGAAGAGCGTTACAGCGAAAACACAATGTTAGCGGCACGACGCCCGCAAGCGCTTACTTAAGGAGGGACTTCACTCCTTCAACTGTCAAGGTAGCTCAAGTAAACCAAACTGTGCATGTGCGCGAAATGGCCCTTACGAGAAGTGGAACATAGATAACAATCGGTGTGTTACATACGTGAACATATGAAATCATATCGAGATGATTTCAAGGGCAATGAGGCAACACTGAGACGTCAAGTTTCATTTCTTTTTTCTTCCCAGTTCAACTTTATTCAACGTCTACAATATCAGTTTACAGAAAAGTGTGCTCAATATTGGTAATACGAAAGGAGCCCCAAAATTAGAAACTCTCGCAGCTTTCCCCACACATACATGATTCATGTCGTAAAGGTATCTTTCTTAAAAAGAAGACGAACAGCGCGAGGATAATTCGAAACATTATTACGTATATGTTTAACGGCCCAAAAAGGAAAAGTAACACTGAGAAACAATTGCAAATTGCTATAGTAAACATAAAAACGTAGGAGATATACAACATGTACCAATCAAAAACTATTTACTAGGATGAAGACACTAGTGCCAAAAGTATTTCTCTACTTGCCACTGAGCTTTTTTTTATTTTGTTAAGCTTGTAAGGCCAGCCACTTTCACGCATTTGATTTGGCTATATTAGCATCCATTGAAGTTGTGCATCTTTGAAGAAATAATATGAGCGAAATGATATAATTTATTATCTGCATTCTTAGTTACTATTCCTAGATATATAAATGTAAGCATTCAATACAGGTGTTACGCGATGATTCACAGAGAGAATGGTCCCTGCCATATTTGTTACCGGTTCCGAATTCCCCAGGCAGCTCAAACATCAACCCCCTTTGGTGTAGTAGGATCAGAGTGATGTCTTTAGTAGATAACTTTTGTAGGAAACAGGACTACCTGCCCGAGCACCTTTTTGTGAATACTTGCGAATTGCGAACGAGACATAATCAAGCTGAAGGAAAGTATGGGGAATGTTACTCGTAACAATTATTATATAAATGCTAAGTAATTCAAGGGGACAAAAGGCAACTTGCCACCAGCAGAGGCCGAACCCAAGACCTTACAAAAGCACGTATGATGCTCTACGAAATCAGTGATGGTGGCGGTCGTTCTCTAGGACGATTTGTGGGATACATATAGCTGTGCATTTAAATGTAAGTGTGTTAGTAAGCGCCACACACACTCATTACGGGAACTGTGAAACACTTTTTTTTTCTTCTGGCGTCACGTAGCCGCTGATTTCGAGATGTCAACTGGCCAATAATGTTTAGCATACTTCCCAAAAACATGAAGCCTGCCAGAACTTGACCTTCGCTGTCAATGAACGAGAAAAAAAAAGTGAGGAGAAAGTAAAAACATCCTGGCTGTGGCAGCTTGATCCACTGGTTCTATTCAATAACCAAACTGGTCACCTCTTCAGATTTGATGTCATGGTGAATATCTCAAATAGTCACATGTGTCTGATAAAGATCTTTACGATTGTAAAATTAAGTTACTGAATCTCTGGCGCGAAACTTCCACCTCATTTGAATTTTTGTGGCCTTTTTCTTTTACTCAAGTTTACTAAAAAACATCGTTTTGCTCAATTTCGTTCTCAAAAGGAAACTCTTGTCGATACCTGTCATAAAGTTTGGCCACCACGAGTAAAACGAAATTCCATTTTTGTTTTGTTTTTACCTTTTAGAGTACCTCGGAAAGCAGCAGTTCGAATACCGCGGAGACAGCTTACGCTGAGCCCCGTCAAGATCTCGGAATATTCAAATCACAGAAGATACTTGACATTGCTATGTCCCTTGCTGTGATGTGGCTGTTCTTGTGTCTTTACGTTGTGTACTGCGTATACTGGAATACAATGGACTTTCTTCGTCCACTGTTCTTCAAGTGGCTATGAACAGTTGTACCCGTGACTAGGTTGGCAACAATCAATTAACAGCCTAGATGCTCGGTATGCGACTGTGCCCATTCGCATTCAACTAGCGTGTGGCTATAAAGCGATGCAAGAGTGTGGGTACACAAGCGGGCTTGGGTTCCGCAGTACAAAAACTGCCTAATGTCAGCAAGGTTCTAACGGGACCAGAAACCAGGCTCAATACGCCCTATCAAGACTTATATGACCATACTTGTCAGAAATCATGTGCTAATCAGTACGCCACTTTAATTTTCTATAATTCTGACAAATAGCTATAGACGAGTCATACAAAATGTTTGTTAAACCCAGTCTGTCAGTGTCCGGCAGCTGCTTCGAGTGTATTACTTGCATCACTCAAATGTATCGAACTGCATCTTTTCCCGTTTTACATGGACCGTAGGGAAAACAACAGGTTATCCTTTTGTGAATAAACTCAGGGGAACATGACACTGGCCATGTAAGATTTTCAGGAGCAGCTTAGCTATTTTTTCAGGTACAAATAAGAAGAGACGTCACATTTCTCATTGCAATAATTTTCAAAGCGTCTGTTCATGTCAGGAGTTCCAGCAAACCTAGTGTTGTGAAAAAAAAAGGTGGTAGCTAAAAGAAAGGCCCACACAACTAGAAGGCTCAGTGAAGTTCACTTGGAAAGTGGCGATGGCTGCTTTAGCTAATGTTTTTATATACTCGTGCGAATATAATCTAGTTTGGCAAGAACAGCGTATTCGTTAATGAGGTAGGAGAAGACGAGAGAGTGCGAATTTATTACAAAGCAGAGAGGCCAGCCTGAGCTACTGCGCTCCTGTCTGCTACTCTAAAGAAGGAATAAGAGATGGCAAAAAAAAAAGGGATGAAGAGCAGCCACCTAGAAGAGTAGCCTACAGCTTATTATAGTCTCCAACGCTTTTGATAAAATATACAGCAGTCATTGTAGGAACTGTTCGACACTGTTCGGTCGCACATTACCGACAGAATGAAATTTTCACTCAGGATAATCAGCGTACCCATGATATAATTACTCAGTTTTGCGTTAGCTACAGAGCATGACACTACGTCACTGGAAAAAAAAAGTTTTCAGAATATCGCCCTATGTCACGAATGTTGATCAATCTTTCAGACTACAGTATTCATGTATTTTACCCTAAACACGTTTAAACATATCACAAAGTGTTGCTGTGCCAGCATCTGCATTTTTCGGCACACAGGGACAGTTGTGTTCGCGATAAGCAAAATTATTCATTGCTGATACTCATCTTAGAATGCTTGCATTAATTCTTGAACTTATGTGAAATATTTTATATAAAATGTTGCTGCCATTAGTATGGTGTGAGCGGTCTTCCAATGGCAAACAACCACATTGAATAATAATGACGATAACAAGCTACACTAAAGTATTTCGTGAAGTCCCACTTTGATTGTATTGCTATGACTACAGTATTGATATATTTTACTCTAATATTTCCTGGGCTGAAATATATGACGCTGCTCTTGTTAGTAGACAAGTATTCTTTCGCTTGACGCTTTGTACTCGAATTCCAACAGTGTAGCCATGCTTGGAAATTGTTCAACGTGGCGTCAAACTGAGCCCAATGTCAGACAGGAGGAGCATTTAGAAGTGGTTCAGCTAGATTTTTTGGGGGGGCAGGGTGACCGCCTACAAGGGTTTTTAGGGTAGTTTTGTTGGTTCTTGATCCTTGTGACGAAGTGGCGCAGGAAGCTAGCCGAACAGTACAGAAGACAAAGAACTATCAACCTGCGATGGAAAACGCTAAGTCCTCTCCTGTCACATTGTCATTGCCATCTTGTTCGATGTTCGGGCACAATGATGGTCTCGTCAGACCATTCGAGTTTCTAGATTGATTTTCTGCTTCTTTGTTGATCTAGAACAAGCGCTGCAAGAAAGTGTTTTGGCCTTGCTAACTGGAGAGAGTGCTCCCCGCGAAAGATTGCTTCGTTTGAATAATGTTGATCGGTTGTAGCAACATCGAAAAAAAACTATTGTGCTTGTTAAGTCTAAATAAAACATTTCCTGTTGGTAGATCAACTGCGTGCCTCTTTGTTCAGAGTGCGGAAGAGCATATTAAAAACGACGAACTCGCATTCTTGCAGCTCCCAGTTTAGTGAAACGCTTGAGTTGTAATGAACTCGCTCGGCATATTCTCGGTAATAATATTGTTCAAAGTGTGTCGTCATGCATATGAATTGCATTACTAAAATGTCTTCGAACATCTAACTGTGCCTTCGTTGCCATTGCTTCGAAATGATGAAAACCTAACTGGTTGATGTTTTCCTACAAGGCTGGATGTAGCACTGTTAGGATAGATTGCATGACCAGAATGTTTTCGACATTTTTGCTGGTCACAATGATATCCGTACTTATAAAACAAGTATACAGGGACGTAATATTGCCTCCTCTTGTACTATGCCTAGTTGTTTTGTGTCATTCGTGGCATTCGGGCTTGTTGTTGCTGACATTCTTGCACTTCGCAGCACTTTTTCCAGAACTTAAGTTATTTGTAAGGCGCTTTAGTGAACAAAATGTGATTATGAATTGCCGCGTCACGCTCTTTTTTGTGTCATGCCATTACTGTGGTTTCTTACGTAGTCCTAAGAATGCAGTGTTCAGTTATAATATGTACACAAAGATATTGCTAAGAAATTATCCACAAGGCTGCCGTGGTGTATCTTCTTTCATGACTAACGTCAAAAGGCAAATGAAAAAGCTGTAAATTTCAGGTAGAACCAGGTGTGCTATTGAAATACAGTGAAATTCCACGCTATTGGCCAATTTCGTAGAGGCGACGTTCCAGGCCAATCAGAAAGGCTAAAGCGGCCCTCCAGAAAAATCTGAGTAGGCAAGATATGAATTTCGTAACGGTGTTTATAGTCAATAGTAGCAACCGCACTATATGTGACAGTTTCTTAAGATTGTGATTCACAAGAAATAGTGTCAGTATTATGATTGTGAGTAGTCCACGTTTGCTGTAATCAGCCAGCACCATGTAATTTTAGCTAACAATGGTGACATTGGCCTATTTTAAAGCAACGGTAGCCATGGCTGTCGACAAGTCAGATATGTTAAGCCGACACTTGTATGTGTGTATTTCATAGAACGACCGCTATAAAGGTATACACTGGTTCTTGTCAAAGAGGCTGACAAAAAGGCATGAATGCCTTACAATGTATGGCACTCCTTTCTTATCCAACATTGCTGAAAGAGCCAAGCCTGTTACTTGCACCTTAAGCAGCACAATACAGATATATATACGAGAGGGCTGAATGACAGGTGGCGCCCATTATTTAATTCGATATTGCATAAGCACGTTCACATAAAGGAAATAAAAAGTCTCGGGACAGAGATATCGCTAGACCAAGCAACACTCCATAATCACGAATTTTTCTTCTCTGCAAGATTCAATTTTCCCCGAACTTCTAACATATTTTGAAATGCTTATACAGGTGCATTACAAATGAACAGATGTAGCAGGCATGGTAAACTGGACGTAAAGACTCCCCAAAAAGTAGAGATAAAAGACTGTTCTCCTCTGGTGTCAAATATGCACTCGCACTAGAAGCAGTCTTTTTTAAAATCACTAAAAGACTCCTCAAAGGAGGCGAAACTGTTCTTAAGGCATAAACCATGCTCTAGAATAGAAAATTAGGCTCGCCGAAGGCATGAACTTGTGCACTAACGTCATCGTCTGTCCAGAGTGAATATTACCTAACAGAAAACCAACACTCGGTGTTGCCAAACTTTTTCTTCCCAGAGCAAAAATATCGGTGTTGCCGAATCCAGAGGAACTGCATCAACGAAGTCCGCACAGGCCACAAGACAAGAACCGAGCCTCACTACCGGTTGCTATACGGACTGGAAGGCCTGGAAACCATACGCCGCTTCAGGAAACTGGTACGCAGTGTTCGTCATCCTCGAAGAACAATTCAGCGGCACCGGAGCCGACCAGGCGGCAAGGTGGGATCATTTTGTGCCTAAGCTGCGGCACACGAAGCATGAGTGCATCGTCCGCGACCTCATTGATGACCCGTACGAGCCGCAACCGTTTGACTGCCTCATCACTGCCCTTATTGCAAGGTGTTGCCTGCCGCAAGAAGTTTGGCCCCAGGGACTGCAGGTGACTTGGGACGATATCGTAATGTACGTCCCATCGGTACTGCGAGAGCGTCTAACAGAGGGTGCCAAGAGTCACCTGCGGAAACACGCGGTTTATCTCGACAGTCATGGGCAACCCGGGATCGAGAGTAGTGGCGCAGAAGCTGCCAACGCCGTTGTGCCCAGAAGCCCACAATTGGTTGCGTCACCGAATCCAGCGACCACGGAAACGCAAGCAGGAAGTGTGAAGGCAGTGGACGTCCGTAGTGCAACACAAGCGAAAAAGCAGGACGCAAACGCAATTTCGACTCTCATGCAGGTAAGACTTCAACGTACAGTGTCAATTTGTATGAAAGGGGACACGGGAGTGCGTGGCGTGCGGGCTCCGGCGGCTGCTGACAGCGCGTTAAAGCGGAAGCGAGAGCAACCACAGTCTCTTTTCGCGTCATCTCGCGGCGAGTAGAGGAACCATTCGTTGCTGATATGGAACCAGCGGCACAATTGCGACCCTCTTCCCCTTCAAGGCGATTACGCGGGAGCCGCCAATCGCCTTGAAGGGGAGGGGTTGCAATATTGCCGTTCTATATCAGCAACGAATGGTTGTTTTGCTCACCGCAAGGTGACGCGGAAGGAGACTGTAGTTGCTTTCACTCCCGCTTGAACGCGCTGCAAGCAGCCGCAGGAGCGCGCAGGCAAAGCACTCCCGTGTTCTCTTTTATAAAAATTGACAGTGTACGTTGAAACGTATTTGATGTCTAATTTTAATGTTTGTTATAACTTAGCGCGAACATTGCCTGCTTGGTCTTAGTTATAATGCAGCAGTCATGGTCAAGTGTAGGGAGCAATCTTCACTAGCTTTATTCGATCTCCCGGAAGGTAATGCCGCTTACCGCAAGGAGGAAAAATACCGTACTACGCCGCCTTGTTCTTAACATATAACGTTGCGTGACATTTGGGGCACCTATATTGTGATGAGGCAATAACTTCAATGCGATAGCGTACATAAAGATCAAGCATGAGCAAGAAGCTAAATAAAACACTCAAATAAAGTGAAATATTATTTAATTTTTGCGAATAAAGACGATTCTGCATTTATTCACGTTAAAAACGCGTCTTTCTTTGTCTTTCTTCTATACTTGGGACCTTTCACAGGTATATGCAGAGTGAGGGCAAAGGCATCAAAGAAACAGAAATATAAGCATAATTATTGTAGTTTGAAACAATCAGAATGCAAAGAAAGACGACAAAGAAATATTTTGTTTGTTACAGTGCGATGAAAAAGGAAAGACAACTTTGGATATGTCTGTTCGCGTAAAATATAGTGTCATTTAGTGAAGATCACGGCTATGAGTATGTCCTTACGTTGAAGGTGAAAGTAGGGGGAACGATTAATTGCTAATTCCCGATGTCCGACCAAGTAAAGATTTTCTGAACGTGCGGTTTCTCTTCTTAATCCAAAGCATCTAATGCTGTTAGCCTGTTCAATGTGGATCTGTTAATTGTGCAGGTCTTTAGAGTTGGTAAATTACATAACCTACACTGACTTTAGCGAACGTGCATCACTTCAGAAGCTTATGTAGATGTTTGCTGGATTACCGCCAGTGTAGTATATCAGTTCTTTGAGCACACTGCCACCAAAAAGCAGCTCACGTGTCCCATTTCAATTCATTCTCCCCAAAATCATACCAAAACGTCTTAAAAATAAAACATATGGACCCCTCTGAGTCTTCATTAAAGTGACCCAACAAGAAAGACAATTTCGTCGAAAGTTGAGCTGTACGAATACATAATAAATTGACCACTTAAGAAATGTTATTCGGTCAAAACGTTTAGCTACAACAATGCGAAATTCGCAGCTGGCCACAGGGTCATTGTCAGCATGAATCCGATGGGCCAGTATGGCAATGCTACGAGGCGAATACGCTGGACACGTGTTTCGTGTAGTGCTTAGGTATTGAGAAAGTGACACGTCGTTCAAACTTTGTAACAGAGAGAGTTAATGCTGATAAGCTCAGTTCCCCTTCTTTGCATCTCAGAAGTGGTCCGAGCCATTCCGTCATTTAAAGGTGCATGCTGAGATTTGTATTTCATCGTTGCCCCTGTTAAGGAACTTTCGCTTTGCTGATCTTGTTTCAGGGAGAAGAGGCACCATCCAGTAAGAAAGCAAAGAAAATGTCGGTCGCTGATTCTCTTCATGTTACTTCCAAATTAGGTCGCTTAAATGTCAGTGAAACTGCAACAGAGGCGCAGAGCTTTCAAGAAAACTTACTCTTGAAATCACGTGGTGAACCACAAGAAAAGCAACATGGCGAGGGTGCATCGCAAAGCCAACCTGGAAAATCTGTCCGGTCATTGGGTGGGCTCGGTAACGATGCTGATTCCTCAGAGCGAGAAACCAGTGCAACAATAACCAAGCTACCTTCGAGGAGACGATCAGAAACATCATCTTCCAAACTTGACGACTCAAGTATCGCCGAACCTTTGCCAAACTCGGAGGAGTTGAGTGACAGCGTGCACTTAAGACTGTACGGCCCACCTCAACAAAAGCACCATGTTGAGGTTACATCCAATAGCCGATCCAAAGGAGCTTCCCGAGTAACGAGTGGACTTGATAACAACACATGTGCCCCATTGGGAGAAATCAATTCACCATTAGATACGCCATGTTCGCGGTTCCATACAGCATCACCTGTATCGGAACCATCAGCACCTTCTAAATATGATGAGCCAGGCATGATCGAATCTTTCTCAAACGCTAAAGGATTGCATGACGGACCGCTGGGCCAATCACAAGAAAAGCTACACGTTGTGAAGACATACGAAGGCGAACTAGAAAAGGACGCAAGGTTAATTGACGGACTCTGTAACAACGCAGCATCTTCACAGTGCCAAAACAGTGAAGGAGTATTATTCATCTCACCTTCTGAAAAGCAGTCAGAACAATCGGCACCTGAGCCACCAGCATCTTCAAAACCAGGTGACCTAAGTGTCACTGAAAATTCATCCAACATTGGAGATTTGCGTGAAGACAAGTACTCCAGAGCAGAGGGACAATCGCAACAAACACTGCATGCAGACAGCACACACGAAAACGGAGCCGGGGCAGGTGCCGGGTTGTGGGATGGACTCGATAGCAACTTAGCTTCTTTAAAGCTAGAAAGCAATACAGTGCTGTCCAAACGATCTTCGTGGAACCAATCGCAACACTCAGCACCTGAACCACCAGCTCACCCCTGGTTAGGTTACTCAAGTGCCAACGAGGCTATGCCGGAAACAGAAGGATGGCGTGAGGGCGGGTGCTCAATATCGCAAGGCCACCCACAGCGAATGTTACGTGCTGAGAGCACATGTGAATACCCAGCCGAGAAATCTGCAAGTTTATTAGATGGGCGTGGTAACAACACAGCTTCCTCACAGCGACAGAATCGTACAGCTTTATCTAAGCAACTTTGGTGGTACCAGTCCGAACTATCAGCACTTCCACTGTCAGCACCTTCCAAGGTAAATGACTTAAGTACCAGCGAAGATATGTCAACTGTACAAGGATTGAGTGCTGGTGAGTACATAAGACATCAGGACCAACTACAACAAAAGCAGCATGTCGAGAGCAGCCCCGAAAGCATGCTCGGAGAAACCTACAGGTTATTAGATGAGCTCAATAAAAATAAGGATTCTTTAGAGCGAAAGAGCAGTAAAACATTATGCGAAACAAATAGATGGAAGCGATCGGAACCATCAGCACCAGAGCCACCAGCATATTGTGAAGTAGATGCATTGAAGACCACTGAAGCTTTGTCAAACATGGAACAATTACGTGGTGGTGAGTACTTGAGACCGGAGCACAAATCGGAAGAAAAGCTGCATGTTAAGGTTACACACGAAAACCGACCCGCATATGGTGAGAGATTCTTAGATGAAACTGGCGACAACACAGCTTATTCAGTGCGACAAAACAGCACTGCGTTATCCGCACCACCTTTGCAGTACAAACCAGATTCACCTGCACCTGAACCACCAGCATTTTCCAAGTTGGGTGAATCAGGTGCCTCCGAGGTTTTGTCAAACGCGGAAGGATTGCTTGATGGCACGTTTTTAAGATCGCAATGTGAGCCAAAACTACTATATGAGGACGACAACTCAGCACCTTTACAGCAAAAAACTTGTACATCATTGGAGAATGCAACTTCACGGCACAAGTCAAAGCCATTGGGGACAAAAATGGAGGAGATTCTAAAGAAGTTAACTACTGATGGTAAACATTTCAGCGACGTCGAACAGCCTTGTCAGAAAACATATGCGGAGGCACTCAAACAGGCCGACATGGCGCTGAATGCAGCCGATGCGTGCCACATTGATGCTAAGTGCATGATAGGAAGCGAAAGAAGTGAATGTTATGCGGCCCATAAATCACCTTGCCACAGAACACCGGGGACCTTAAGTAAAGAGGAGGCGGTGGGCCCTACCATGCCACAAGAGAGAAAAATGGGTTTGCAAATGACAACTGCAAACACGGACCGATCACCATTCACTGGGGAAAAGGGCAAAACCTGCTTAGATCGCAACGCTAAAGAAAATGATACCACCGCAAGATACTCGCGAGCAAGAGACATGACCATTCCTAACAAGTCTGGTCCACACCTTGACCGAATTGATCCGCTGTACTGCTCTCAAGCTCCGGAAAGCCGAAGCACCAGATCACAACGAACAACGCATCACGAAGAACGTGTATTTTTCAACAGCACCAGGAACTCTCACCGCAGTCACAGTGGTACAGTGCAGCAGCTAAGGGTGGTGACAAAACAGAGACGACCCCTGTACGTGCCAAGCTCTATGATTGCACGCGAGGTTTTAGAATCTGCGGGGCGACCCTCTGAAATACCGCGCGACACTTCAAACGCAGGAACAAGACACACAAGTGTTGTTTCCCGTACGCGCGCGCAAGACCAAGAGTTTTTACGCTCCTCGCCGGCCAGTTCAACGCTTGATGAAGAAACACGTGTTCTGGAGAAGGCCCAGAAAGTTTCGAAACAGCAGCATGATGCTGGGGTTGCATCGCAGATGGAGGGCCCACGAACCTTGACTTGTCAGGAGGCTCCAACTAGGCAAGCACAAGATGTGACCTCGGCGAGAGTCCGAAGGCCGTTCGAAAAAGCCGTGGCTGTCCCTTCAGCATTAGAATTTTCTAAGCGGCAAGACTACAGCGCCGATAGTGCAGCGTGTGAAGCGACAAGTTGTCGAGCAAGCGATGCCATTGCTACAGGCAGTGGATTTCAGTTGGACATTCCCTGTTCGCAAGAGGTTTTACCTGAACGCACTTACAGAGCTTTCTCGTGTCCGGCAGACATTAGAGGACAGGGTGCTCCAGAACTCAGCACAACAGCGGGGTACCGTTTTGCGAAATCTTTAGACTCAATCCGGGAACCTATGAAGGAACGTCATGAAAGTGTTCTGAGCAGTCGGGAGAGTTCGCAGAAGGACACTTCCTTTGTTATGGAGGCTGAAGTTTGACAGGCTACCGCAGTAAATAAGTGAATCCAAAGCGCTCGCTGAGCATGTGTCAGAAATACTTGTGTTTCTATCAAACCGGAGACATACCTCTGCACCAGCCAGCCGCATCCTCGTGTGAACCATGAGAAAACTATCAAAGGCCAAGTGGTCATCTGATTAAGAAAGTGGAGATGAGAAAACATGCAGGAAATATAAGCAACCTGTGAAGTTGAGTAATGAATTTACGAAGCGACTTATTATTAACCAAATGTTGCCTTAATGGCCGGTTGTGATGGCCACAATATTAGGTATGTATCTTCCGACGACCATCTCGGGGAATGCGATAGCATTTTCGAGGGATTACATGTGAAATCCAGTGCATCCTGTAACGTATGTATAATGGTTTTTAGAGCTGTGCTAAGAAAGTGTGCTCCGTACTACGCTAAGACTGTTTTACTACTCGTATAGAACACGATGGTGTTCGACGCTGGCAATGCATGATTTGTCGTATATCTCGTGGAGCCAGACTTGTTCTTGAAGGTGATCGTCTGAGAATATCACCTCCGAAATTTGTCGCGCTGCAATTTTTCACAGCACAGTTCATGACGGGAAATCGCTTGTTTTTATGATATTTAAATGCACACGCAAATGAATAAAACGTCAAATGGAAATGTATCTACTTGCCACAGTTAGCCTATTGTGGTATGCGTGACATTTTTAGCCTTCGTCCCCAGTTCCAGACTAGAAAACCAGAAGACAAAAAAAAAAAGAGAAAACCCATGTGTTACAGACTGAGCGGTGAACACCTAAAAGTGTTACAGGGACGAATCAGTCAACAGCGCACGGGCCGCACAATTTTATCTCCTGACTTTCCCAATGTCCACGCTAATCACGACTTTGCAGCTTGAATGTCTTGTATACCACAATACTCATGGGTTTTGCATAGCTTTCGTACATGTACGCCAGCTGGCTTTCTTCGCATCGCAGAAATAAAGGTGAGGCACTTTTTTTTTCTTTTACGCTCGCCTCACGGTACTCCAACCACAACATATAATTTTATTTTATACGCTTTGTTTCTACAAATATTTTGTGTACTTGCAGCAACCATTAATTGAGTTATGCGTTGCAAAGGTTTCGCAACAGTAGTCTACCTTACATCACGTAATAATTGCAGTCATGGTGTGTATGTAGGGGGGGGGGGGGGGCGCTTCATATTAGGTGCACTTACCATCGGTGTTGGCTACAACTCACCACCTTTAGGGTTGTTTGAGGTAGCGGCGACATATCAGTTCAGTTTCTACGATTAAGCTATTCTCCTGCTCGACCAAGCACTGAAGGTGAATGGAAATGTTCTACAAGTATTTCACACTTGACGACAAATATATATATATATATATATATATTCACCAAAGTATTAGAAATCACAAGTATTTCAAGTAGTGTGATGAACTTTTTTAGAAATTTTATCGTACTTAACAGTACTCACTTTTACCAGCCAAGAACGATGTGGAAGTGTGTCAGACCATGTTTTTACTACCCCAAGTTTCCGCTCCTGGTTTTCTCTGGCTAATTTCATTGTTACCTAGTTATAATGATCATGCAGCCATAAAAAAATAGGTGTATTTAACCTAATTACATGAAGACACTTTTGTTGTTGAAGTTCATTGGTTAAAGACCAACGGATGCCAACTTGGAAACCGGATGAGCGAACAAGTGCATTGTTTATTTGTATTTCTCGTTTTCCACAAAAAAACCTCCTAAGAAATATATCTCATACGAATAAGAATCTCCCCAAACTATCATCCACTATATTGTCAAACTATCAATTCGTCTTAAAAGATACTAAAAAGTATTGCGATAACTGAAAACAAACCTAACGATTCATGTCTTTTTTACCATGAAGCTTTAAAAAGAAAATTGCGGCTATTTTTAAAACAGCAGCAACAACAATCGCAAATACTGGCCGAGTGCGTTGCAGAAGTCTTTTCCTTTGTCATGCGCTCGGTGCGAAGTCTCGAAAGTATGCCGATAGTTCAAAGCGTACGTTTCATGATACTTAACAAAACGAAACAAAAATCAGCGCTCAAACATTCCGGACATATAGGTAACCAGTGAATCTGAAATATGTGGCCACGGGCGGTTGCAGGCATCGCAGCCAAAGTGTCACTCGAGAAACCCTCGCCAAAAGCAGGCTTCGGCCTCGGCGTACGAGGTGCCGCCATTCCCACGTTGACGCTATTTCGCTACCAACGCCACTTCCTCGGTTCGCCTTTGTCGCTAGGACTCAGCTAGGAAGACTGCTGGATCCTAGGTGCGCAGTTGCTGCTTGCGCTTGGCCACCTAAGCCTATTGTGCTATATTGCTGCGTCATTCTGGCGAATGGGAATTCTCTCACATATCAGCGGTCGGCGCTCTTCTTGGAAAGTTGCCCACCCACTCATCGGGTGTTGGAATGATCCGGGCTTTCCCATGTGGGAGTTGTAAGTTGATACTGCTCCGTGCGGGCACGAAAGCACGGCCTAGGTAAGTGTAACTGGTAGCAAAGCTTCGATTCAAATTGATAGGTTTTGAAAAGTAGTTCATCAGCTGCTCATTGGGCTTAGCGCCATCTATATCTGAGGAAGGAACACTCCCGGTGGAAGAAAGTCAAACCGGTATGACGTCATATCTGGTAAATAAGCGACGTCGTTTTCTTGGCACCAGCGCAAAATTTGATCTCAAAATCATTTTCATGGGCCCCTGTTGTGCAAGTACTTGCGTTAAGGTTAGCCGTCGAGTCCTTGATGAGTTCGTCTCATGCAGTGCTGTGTTAACTAATGCAGACATAAGACTGAAGAGTAGTGTACTGCCGTCTAATTAACCTTGATTTAAGTTCAAAACTTACTCTTGAAGTTTTTATTCGGCAATTGTGGGCATCTGCAGATGTATCAAAGCAACTAGCAGCGCACTTTTTATGTTTGCAGCGCTGCTTACTTGTTTCACAGCCCCACCGTGGTGGTCTAGTGGCTAAGGTACTTGGCTGCTGACCCGCCAGTCGCGAGTTCGAATTCCAGCTGCGGCGACTGCATTCCTGATGGAGGCGGAAACGCTGTCGGCCCGTGTGCTCAGATTTGGGTGCACCTTAAAGGACCCCAGGTGGTCGAAATTTCCGCAGCCCTCCAATACGGCGTCTCTCATAATCATATGGTGGTTTTGGGACGTTAAACCCCACATACCAATCAATCAATTACTTGTTTCACATACAGTCAGGTTCCTTAAAATACACATATATTGCACGCTTCAGACCTAAACAAAACAAACGACACCTATTTATGCCCAAATTCTGATACTTCTGCTTTACTAAATGGTCACAATGATATGATTTTATCAGACCGCACAGATTGAGCCCCAAGTGTGCCAGTAAGCAAAAATAGTGTATGAACAGTTTGCGTGCCGTGTTTCGCCTTATGCTGCGATAAACTACGGTTACGCATAATTCACCCGAGCATGCGAATTGTAGCGTGATAGACAGCCTAACGGTCTGCTCACCGATGATCAGAGTATGATTAGATGATCGCAAAGAAAACCGGACAGCGCGAATACAGATTCACGAAAATCGAGCAAGCGTAGTGCTACGAACCGTTCTCTCGCTACAATGGCGAGAAGTCATGCGTCGCCAGGCAAGCGTGTGTTACTTTCGCATCCTTGAACAGCGCATCGTTTTCGCGGGCACCGAGGCGAAACGCTCGTTTGTAAATGTTTCCGCATCGTACCGCTGTCTTTTGGACACTGCACTCAACACGATCACCAACGATGAAACGCAGCTCCCAACTCGGAGCGCAGTGAAAATTGTATTCCCACCGCAGTAGTTCACAGAATGCAAGGAAGTACGGAACACCGAAAATATGCGTGGAGGGGCGTGTCGCCGCAAGGAGACTTTAGAAGGGCCTATTTTTATGAACCACAAAGGCTGCTGTCGCACTGAATAGTCACAGCATGCGTTTCTCGCAGGATAGTTAAGAAAATGCATTTTTTTTAAATAATGAAACACTTTCTTACACTCTTTTCACATTTCACCTAAATAACAGTTGTTCGGGTAGTCATTGTCATGATACCTGTTCACTTACTGTGTTAGTATTACCTTCTATATTTCTGTAATAAACCCAGGTCCCACAATGTGTTTTTTTTTACTTTCGGGCCCTCGCCTTTCTTAATATTGTAATAATTTCCGGAAGCGATAAACTGAAACTTAACAACATAATGATCATTACCGCCCTGTATAAGAGTTCGTTTGTCAATATCAGTTTAACAGTCGTTTTCTGGGGCAGTCGGTACATGACGTGAAAGTGCAGAGTTCCGGCAAGCTTCAGACGGATAGCAAAAGAAGAGAGCGACCAGCCTTGTCCTTTGCGCCCGTCTCCCCTTGTGCTCCGGTATGCAACTTGCCGGGCCCCTTTACTTTCACTTCGCTATTAGCAGTTTGTTTCCTCCGCAAATAGTCGTGCTTCAATAACAGCAGCTATAACTCCCACTGCTGACGTCGCTGGCAATGCGATCGATACCGCTTTTCTTCCGAAGCTTCGCGCCCTATGTAGACCGACCTTGGCACGGTTGCGTAGGAATCGTTCACGTCACTCACGGCGTAGCCAATGACACGCGTCCTTGGTTATGACGCGAGAATTACGTCAGTACCAGTACTCTCAATGGCATGCGATTAGGTGCGACGTGAAGAACGACGTAGCTGGCGGCGCAGCCAGTAAAGACCGCTACCAATTCTCGTGATGCAAAAAAACTGAAAGCTGGGCCATTAGGTGATAATAGTTGAACATATTTAACACAGCGCACGACTGCGCTGACACAAAAGAAGAAGAGACAAACCGCAGTGGTTTTTCGTTTCACCTAACCATACACAGCTGTCTCTTCAACAATAAACTCACCAGCATGAACTTCAAATGACACAGCCATCAACGATGAAACAATCATGCGTTTCACACTTTCGAACTGAAAAAAAAAACTATATACTCTTCAAAAACAAGCGACCTGGAAAATACTTCTGCGCAATCATGGATTCAGCGGTCTGCGAAATAAACCAATAATTCACCCAGAAATGAATATACAGGTTCTGAAAAGCATTAAAAAACTAAGTCTTTAACCTTCTTTTCGAACAAATGGCTCAAATACCAACCCCTATACAGATAAGAGCCGAGTCGCACTCAAAGTTTACCATAGAGTTAATATACTGGGGTAATTACATAGATATCGCTATGTTCAGGTCATCCGCCTAGAGCATGGAGGAACGAAAAAAAAGTCTGAGCTTTACGTCACAAGGACCAAACCCACCCAGCCGGCCCTACGCGTCATCAAAACGCCCCAGCCTGCGGTAGGTGTCAGTACTCTCGCTGGTGTTCCGTTTTGTAACCTCCTGCGTGAGCCGGTTGGTATGCGCCGTACAAGCGCGTTTCGAATAAAAGGTACCGAGCGCCGTATACCGCGAACTCTCGGCCAGTCTAGCTGCTTGCGTGATATTGATGTCAAGTGTTGGGCCGACACCGCTGGCTTGAAAACGGCTTGGCTTGACAATTGCCTGGCTGCGCGATGTGACACTTCCTCCTTTCCCCCTTTTCCCCCTCTATGGCCCCGAGTGCCACTACACGCAATATGCTTCCTCTCGTATTGGCGGAATCAGCCATCGAAGCTACATTGCCGCAGCCTCGATATCAGCTGCGCCGTGCTCGCTATCGCGAACGTCAGCTGCCCGGCGGATGTGTATCTGAAACCATTCCAGCATGTTGCTTTGCGAAGGCGTTTTTCTGTGGTGTTTAGAGCTGTCTTACATAAGACTGCGGGGTTGCTACGGTTGCTAGCAGCTCTATTCACTGCGTTGCTGCGGGTGCTTCGACTACGTATTACAGGTATGTAGCACTCAATAATTTTCCCCACCTCGCTTCATAACGGGCAGTAAAGAAGCGTGTTGGCTTAGGCACTCGCTATGATTCGGCCGATCGACTGTAATTTTCCTTTTAGCTTATCGTCATAACAATATTCAGTAATCTGTTGGCCAGCAAAGCGATCGCCTACGACACGGTTATCATTTCCTTCTGCCTCTACTACTACAGTGTCTACAAATATTTCTAGACACTGTACTACTGCTAAACTTTGGCACTATTAGCTTACCATCTCTACCGCGCTTCGATAGCCACCTGCTCGCGCTGATTCGAAAAGTTTGAGCGAACAGATGTTCTGTTTGAAGAAAGAAAAATACAAAGGCGCATTGACTGGCAGCAATCGGCATCTGCAGTGTAGTCGAGTTTCAGGCGTGCGAAACTTCGATCAAAATAGTTTATAGCCAAGGTGGAACTTATCGAGGGTTTATTTAAAATAGGCGAGCTAGAATATCGACCCAGATGTCGTAATTGCATGCGTCCGTTTCGTACGACTGACGAGATGCACTCGTAGGTGTACCTTCACTTTGTTGATTGATTTGTGGGGTTTAACGTCCCAAAACCACCATTTGATTATGTGAGACGCCGTAGTGGAGGGCTCCGGAAATTTCGACCACCTGGGGTTCTTTAACGTGTGCCCTAATCTGAGCACACGGGCCTACAACATTTCCGCCTCCATCGGAAATGCAGCCGCCGCAGCCGGGAATCGAACCCGCGACCTGCGGGTCAGCAGCCGAGTACCTTCGCCACTAGACCACCGCGGCGGGGCGTACCTTCACTTTGTAACGGCTCCTGAATTCGTGAGGCCTCGGACGTGCCTTCATAGTGTGAGCATGTGAGGCGAGATATGATTTCACGAGATATTTTCTCTATAAAGAAATTTGGGAACCCTTAAGCTTCGCCTTGAAGAGTTGAACACGATAGCAATATCCTGTTCCTTGTGAGCACTTAGTGCATGAAAACCTTTTCGAACTTGCTATGCACCCACTGCGTGGCCTTAAGGGCGCAGGAGCGTGTGTGCCTTTGTAGTGGGTGACTGGGTTTAAACTATGAAGTCATCCCGATGATCCCATGCTGTGGCTCCTAATGGCAATTTAGGCTTGTACCACGCATTATTACGCAAATTTTTTATGCTGTACTGTGTAGTACGCACATATAGAGGACGCGTGTGTTTGTGACGAAAGTTTCATTGCATTTCCAAGGAGAAGTTATTTTCCCTGCATTCGCAAGCAAAGGCATGGTTCTGTGGTAAAACACATGCATGCCACGCAAAGAACACATGGATGTTTCATCCCCACTCAGACCAAGAACGTTTTTAATATTTGTTTTATTTGCATCTTTATCAATTTCTGTGTCACGCAAAGATGCTCAATTTTTTTGATCACGCAAAAAAGATAAGTTGACGCTCACAACAAACAACACCAATGCCGAAATTTCTTCGAAACGAGCTCTTCAATGATATCGTGTTAAAACACGCAATAGTAGGCACACGTCTGAGGAGGTTGTCTTCGCAGCACATCCCTCTGTGTTTTCCTTGAAGTCAGTAAAGAAGCATACAGATTTGATACGTCAGATCTACTCGGAAGCGTTGCATAAAAGAAATTGCGGGCATGGCGGATCGGTACTGTGAAGTCAGGAAAGAACTTCCTTATACAGTGAAACATTGCTAGCGCCGTCTGGCAACCTGTTTGCTTAGAGATTCATACATGATATCGGTCTTATCTGTGCGGTCATGAATCCTGAGAGCCGCTGAGACACTGATAGCCTTATCTGTGATCTAGTTGCTTCTCGACGATATTTGAAGTTACCATACCCTGGTTTCGACGCACGCGCAGTATTAAGTTTTAAGTTTTACACTCAACGATTGGAGTGCGCAGGATTCTTCGTCAGTGGGGGAGAGAAGGTACATTGCAGTGCCTCCCCTCCCCTAGTAGCACTTCCCCTCCTCCTCTGATGTCAGTGTATGGGATTTTCTGCCCACCTCCGCCCCTTCGTGCGCGCGCTTACGCAATCGGCATCAAGAGTTCAGAGGCATCTACGTGTCAGAAGACTTCAAAATTATCAGTCATTTGCGACATATCCGGTCCAACTACACATTACTTCTCGTTGTTAGTGTGTCTTAGAACGTGAGCTAATATAAATTCAACACTATACCCACCGAAGCAGCGGGAATATTCGGCTTGTTTTTCTGCCGCGTTGTCCTTAAACCTAGGACCCTGACTGCACCCTCATGCTTAGAAGACACACGTAATTTCATGGCGAAGTAATTCACGCACCTTTGTTTCGACTGTTTTCGTCACAGCTGGCAGTATTATTGGTTCGTGCATGTGAAGGTCGCCAGATATCGCCTTCAGTCGTCAGGTTAGCTGAGAAGCCCCGCCGCGGTGGTCTAGTGGCTAAGGTACTCGGCTGCTGACCCGCAGGTCGCGGGTTCGAATCCCGGCTGTGGCGGCTGCATTTCCGATGGAGGCGGAAATGGTGTAGGCCCGTGTGCTCAGATTTGGGTGCACGTTAAAGAACCCCAGGTGGCCGAAATTCCCGGAGCCCTCCACTACGGCGTCTCTCATAATCATATAGTGGTTTTGGGACGTTAAACCCCACATATCAATCAATCAGGTTAGCTGAGAAGTGACACGACTATCTCGAGTGATTGGTGCATACCAGCTGCTATACTTGATGCTCAGATATGGCAATTCCTTCCGTAAACTCTTAAAAGCATTCCTTTGTCAACCCCGCTATTTTCATTAGACCCGGATTCTCCTTGTTCCTGAGCGATTCCGAGGTCAACGACGAGACAATGGATCCTTTCTCTTTTTACCCTATGTGCAGGCGCTGTATCCATCACGCCACTTATTTTTCATAAACACAGGAACGCTGAGTGTTTGTTCACACAAAGTGTTTGAGTCTATAAGGATGACTCGCTTTTTCAGCTACATGCAATTCTCTGCGCATTCGCAGTCATAAACACACCAAAGAAAGCGAAATCATTTACTGACTAACAATGATCACGCGAGTTCAGGAAGAACTGGCGTAAAACTGCACGACAAAGCGGAGTAGGGGGCAATTCCCTACTGATCTCTCGTATGTGGGCAACGAAAAACCAATGTTTCCATGACGTCACGTGAACGGTACTTCTTCGGTCATGGATTTTGCTACAAACACTGAAAACGCTCAGAGACATCATCATTTGTGTTTGAGAGTTTGCTCAGGAGCTTTACGCGAATTCTTATTGCTACATTTCTGATACCCTGTTCATGCACGGATGAAAAAGTCACAGCATATCCACGGAATGAATTATGATGAGTGGAGCGAAATGTCCATCAATCCATCCATACTTCCGTCCTTGCGTTTTTTCCGTTCGTGCGTCCATCTATCCGTTCGTGCGTCCATCTGTGCGTCCATCTGTGTGTCCATCTGTGTGTCCATCTGTGTGTCCATCTGTGCGTCCATCTGTGCGTCCATCTGTGTGTGCATCTGTGTGTGTATCCGTTCGTTCATCCGTCTGTTCGTCACTGTGTTCATCCGTCTGTCCGTTCGTGCGTTCATCCGTCCATATGATGAACACTTCAAGTGCCACCATCTTTTTATCATATACTATCATATACAAGTACCGCCATCCAGTGGACACTCCGAGGACTAAACGAGAGTATGTACCATATTTCTGCTGTCAGCGCTTTGTTAAAGGGACACCAAAGTCAAATAGCAATTTCCGTCAGAGTGAAAGCTCAATTTATGACAATATCTAAAAACGACAATATCATCAACAGTAATGCCCTACTTATTGAAAAATAAGGTAAGTGCACAAGAACACAAGCGCCGCAGTAGGACATCTTGAAAATGATCTCAATGACGTCCGACGGACCCCCTACAATAAATCACTAGCAATCGATCTATCTGCACTAAATAAAGAACATTGCGTGCATCAAGAGACACAATAAAATGCTGCTTGTTCATGTGTGTTTGATTCATGGAAAAAAGAACCGTCGAGACGTTATTACCGGGAATGGCGCGAGTGGTTCAAAAATTCAATTTTCGCGTGGTTACACAGGACATGTGGTGCTATCTAGCGAGGCGTGGTTGAAACAAAAATGTCTTCAATCTCAAACCCAATGGCGGGAAATTGATCAATGACCATTTTTGTTGCTGTGGCCGCCGCTGCTTTCGGTCTGCTGCTACTAGCGTCGTAAAGCCAGGCAACGCTGTGCACGGCAACAGTGACGTGAGCCGGTCTGGTCGGTCCGCTTCTACAAGCGGGTAACTTGAACTGCGCCAACACGATGCGCACCACTAAAACGTGATTTTAACTCAAAATAGGTCCTCCCTTGGCACAAAAGTAACACTACAAGGTTTCTGGACCGCCATTTGAACTTTGAACTTTATTTATTTCAACATTCGGGATGCTGAGGGCCGTGGTCAAAAAGCCTCTAATGGGCTTGAGTGGGACCACGACCCAGTCAACATTAGAGGCTTTTTCAACAATCAACGTCGGCTTAGTGTTTCTTTAACACCGACAGCGTGATAATGACGCCATGCTACGTTTTTCGTAACATGTGAAGATGCGGATATGTGCTCGACTGCGGGTGTGTTCCACTTGTATGCGGGTGGCTACCTACTAATACTACAACTACATACCTCAGAGAATGTACAGACCCATGCCTTAAGAAGCTTCGCCCCTAAAATTATTCAACTGATGAAGGGAGGGGGGGGGGGCTAACTGCAGTACACATTTCGACGAGAATACTCATCTTTGTAGAGACAGCAACTATATTCTTGTCCAAACGTGAGCTCTTCCAGTGACATGTCCGTGTTGAAGACCATTTAGGAATAAGGCTCCTTCGGATGGAGCCTTCTCTGCCGTCCATCGCCCACCCGCGGCGGTTTAGTGGCTAAGGAACTCGGCTGCTGACCCGAGGGTTGCGGGTTCGATTCCCGGCTGCGGAGGCAACATTTCCGATGGAGGCAGAAATGTTGTAGGCCCGTGTGCTCAAATTTGAGCGCACGTTAAAGGACCCCAGGTGATCGAAATTTCCGGAGCCCTCCACTACGGCGTCTCTCATAATCATATGGTGGTTTGGGACGTTAAACCCACAAATGAAATTCTCTGCCGTCCCTCGTAACACGCCATGACGACGCCGATGACGATGAAAGAGCGTGTACCAGACCACACATTCTAGTTCTGAGAAAAACAATTATAAAAGCACTGTCACCCACGAAGGGTCTCGCAGAATTGGCCCCGATGACGACCGATGTAACGAAATTGCACACACTGTACCCACGTGTCTTAACTCAATTACATCCGAGTAAGGACAATTAACGGTTACCCAATGATACCCAGGAGATTCGCCCATATATTGTCATTCACTTCATGGATATGCTGCGATTTTTCTGTCTTCCATGCTCCAGGAGCTTTCATGTTGTAGGAGCTTCCATTTTCCTGGAACTTGTGCCTTGTTAGAATTTCCTGTTCATGGTCGGTGCCTGTTTGCAGGAACCTGCCATGGGTGTAAGGGTGCAGTACAGGGGCCTTCCTGGAGGCACGCACAGGCTGAGGTTCGCGGACGAGCTACCTCGCCACCTGATGTGCGGCCTGTGCGGTATGCTTTCTCTGCAAATGTTCGAGGACAAGCAAGGACACGCCTTTTGCAACGTCTGCATTGGTCAGAAGAGTCAGGCGGCTGCAATATATTGCGGGTACGAGAACAGGGACGTCGCTCTCGATGAGGTATGACTGGAAAGCTCACGAAAAAGCTTTGTTCCTGTGGAGCAAAAGACCTGTAGCTACCTCTAACCTAAATGAAAGCTACAAACATGAGAATTTCTCATGTCAGGTTCTATCAAAGCTCTAGCAAGTTGTGGATACGTATTGCCATTGTGAGCGAGTGCCATGGTAGTCATGCTGTCATTGTCAATACTTGAATGAAAGAAAGGGGCAATTTCGAGCGTTCGCTTCTTTGTTACACAGAACAATACTGTAAACCCGCAGGTAATTGCAGCCGAGAATGTGTAACAAACGTTGATTAGAGATTTTTATGTGCATTGTATCAACGGGGTTATGAATTAAAAGTAAATAAAGTGGAAAAAAAGACAACTGACCACCGGCCAATACTAAACCAGCCCCTTCCAGATAAGGGCCTGATGCCCTAACAGTAGAGCTACTGGTGGTGGTCCTCCTTTTGTCCCCTATATCAGGTATTTATGCGCACCTGGGAGTCTTAACCAGCGCCATGCTAGCCATGATGGTGAGTGTAAAACTCTCTTTGCCAACTGGCTGCTTTTATGAACAATTACGGTGTGACGAATTTGCGGAAGTGGCACTTACTACAGAAAAGGGCAGTACGACATATTGCGGCTGAACACTATCTGTCCTCTACAAAACTTCTTTTTCTAAAATATGATATTCTTCCAGTTTTCTTGTACAATTACATGGCTGATGTTATGCTATAAAAAGTTTGTCAAACATGGTACCAATACCACAATAAATCTTTCTAAACTTAGCGTGAACACAAGTGTTCGACTCACCAGGCACAAAGAAGTTTGGACTGTACCCACCCCAAGAACTTTTCATTACAAACAATCATTGTCCTACAGACTACTTTCTTTGTTAAAATTTTTAAACCACGAAGACTTTGATCCTTCCCCTAAATAAAACTGTCAGATTAAACACTTCCCCCAACTGATACATTATCCTCAATGATACATCTCTCAGAAATTATGCCCATTCTTTCCTTTTTATTGTTGCTTTTCATGTTCATGTCACTCCATGACCATACATTTGAACTACTTTCTTTTTATCTTAGCACTGTTTTCATTAACGTTTTGTATTTGTTTTTTGTGATGTTATACCTATATGTTTATTTCATATTTGTTGTGCATGATTGACTGCGATTCCTGCTGCTTTGTCAACTTGTGAACGGGGTCAGGACCTCGTCAAGCTCTTGAGCTTTTAGTCCTGTCCTCCACCTTATCAAAAGGAAATAGATTGATTGATTGATTGATTGATTGATTGATTGAATTACACCTGTAAAGATCTTGTCATCCTTGGGTGAATATACCATAGTAGTACGAAGTCAGAAAATAAAAGAAACACAAAGGGCAGAAGAAGGAAACACAGGCGTTGCTTCATTTTAGGCGCTCAAAGCGATGCTTCTCACACATGCACAAACGAACTATTCGTTCATGTTTTATAGGGTAAAGTTCATGCCTCTAAACACAATGCTAAAGCAGTAAAATGGTGTCGGTCGGCGTTCGTAGTGTGCACTCCGAATCTTGTCACCTTCAACTAATAATGAAGAAGTACTTTAAGCGCTGAATGTGTTTATTTTCACTATATGGTAACCTTTGTCCAGTTATTCTCGTTAAAAGACAATGACGTAAGACAATGACGTTAAAAGACGAGAAGAATATGTTTGTGCTGTTTCGCAGTCAGGCAGCTTTATAGGGCAGAATGCATTTTACAAAATATTTAACGACAAATATTGTGCTCAAGAGGTCTAAGATAGCCTTGGCTTTAACTGTGGGATGATCACACTGAAGATGCCTAAATATTTTTGTAGCAGTATTTTTGCCTTGTGTAGCCGGTTTAATTTTGTTAGGTTTCACAGCAATGTCTTTCACACGTGGGGTCTCTTTAGGCAGACGAAAGCTGTTTCTTTCATTTCGTTACATATATGCTCTTATGCGGCAGCGTATACCATAGCACAAGACATTCGAAACAAACTTTTTCTCAATATTTCAATTTACGAACAATTCATTTCCTGTTGCAGCTGGTTGAATCGTATTATATCTTTCAAGTAATAAAAGACCAGGTTGTGTTTTGCCCTAACGAACAAGAAGGTTGCCCTGCGTATTCCCCACTGTGTGAAATGGAGGTAAGTCGATCATTAATTACTCTGAAATGAAAACAATATAAACTTCTAGCAAATGGTTAAGCGGACACTAGGTATTTCAATGAAACGTATTTACACATCGAGAAGCTGTCATGATTGGTGCCACTTAGCTTTTTTATGGTTCCAGTGACAAAAGCGAGCGCACGAATATGCGAAATCGTATACACTACATCATTTACAGATAACAGTGTAATTAGTTTTGAATTGTCCTAAATGCTTCGGAGGCAGTTAGGTGCCGTTAAAGTTTAAAGTGCTGGCTGGGCGTCCAGTAAAATTTTACACATGTGTTTTGGGGGAGATCTTAGTACCTCCATATAAATATAACTGTCTTGGGCATTAAACATCACGCACCACCCAACGAATCATTTCATTTCGCCTCCTGCCATCCTGGAAAATAAATCGGCGGACCATGTTCTGAGGTTGTTGAATGTATTTGGACATAGCTGCATATTCATAAGTCGATATCTCTTCGAGCGAAACGACGAAATCAGATGCACGTGAGATGGACAAGTAACGAAAACCCACTGCTGGATAACTTGATATTCTGGTACGTAAAGCTGCGTCTCCTTATCTCTGCAGGATCATTATCTTCGGTGCGAGAAGACGGAAATAGAGTGCGGGCAATGCCAGCAACGAATCGCAGGGCGTCACTGGAAGAATCACTTGGTCAATTGTCCCCGAAAAATAGTACAGTGCTGCTTTTGCGTGGCGGCCTTCCCTCAAATTGATATTCAGGTATTTGTCCAAAAGTACTTAGCTGGCAGCTGTTCTTGAAGCAAATTGGTAAAAAATGGTTTTTTTAGCACGCAGTACTTGTGGCAGAATCATAAACGTTATCACCGATAGAGCAGACGCATAGCCGTTTCACATTTGACTGTGCAAACGGTGCATCAGACCAGTGTCCTTGAGGAAAACGCAGCAGTGCCTTTTGTCGCCTTTCGGAACTGGGATGGGCAGCGCCATTAACCTCCATCATGTCTCTTTCACTAGAACTTTCCCTCACCCTTCCCTTTCGCCAGGGCAGCATAGCCTACGGGCTCAGCCCTGGTTAATCACCCTGTTTTTCTTCTTTTTCTCTCTCCATCTTTCTCTGTGGAGGTTAACAACAAAATGAAATTACGAGTCTCATAGGAATCTCTGAGATAGAACAAAAGTAGTAGCGTGACTTTAACACACGTTAGTACGCTAGTGTTGTTTGTTAGATTATAGACGTGACAACACGAAAGCGTAAATCTGTGCAGCAATTAAACATTCCATATTCAAGTTCTACGCCTACATCATCACTGGGATGCTAATTCGAAAACCCGCATAGCTGCTTATGTAACGGTCGAGAGTTCCATCTCAGCTGACCACGGTGGTTGCAGTTGTTTCAATGGAAGCAAAACGCTAAAGCCCCGTGTGCTGTGTGGTGTCAGTGCGCATTAAAGAACACTAGGTAGTAAAGAATTTCGGAGCTGTGCTCTACAACAAGCCTCATAATCATATGGGGGTTTTGACACGTAAAACCCCAACTATTTATTTTTAATGTCCATGTAGAAGGACGTGCTAAGAACTTGACGTGTCCGATATTTTATTGGCATGTCGTTTTCTGTATCATTCATTAATTACAGACGCACCAGGCTCTGTGTGCAGAGAATCCGGAACGCATTACGTCATCGAATGCTCGGAAGTTTTACAGGAGCAATACCTCGGCATCGCCACTTTCTGCGGAGAGAGGAAATAAATCAATATACGCTTCCACTGATGTAAGTATTCAAGCTTTTTCAGGTACCAATAACATTAATGCGTGAATGACAGAATGACCCCCCCCCCCCCCAAAAAAAAAACTGAATATAGCGTGACGAACTCCCAATTTGAGTCAGAGAGAGATGCAAGAGGGAGGGTCAGGAAGATTAAATGGAATGGATACTTCCAATTTCCTGCTCTGGATTACAGGAAGAGCTAAGAACGGTGGAAACAAAAGTGAATAGTACAAACAGGCATGTGCACACACACACACGCACACAAACTTGTCTAACAGGATATTACTCATGAAATAAATTCAATGAGGATTTCTTTGCGATACAGTCGATAATCTATATTTGAAAATTCATTGTTAGCCAGCACAAAGCACTACATTCATCCTTATCCAACACTGCAATAGCAAGTTGGTACAAGCTATTGTTAGCCAAAATTTGCCTTCATTTAGCCCTTTTAAGGTGACATTAACCCCTACATAGCTACCATGAGACAACTTTTCCCTCTGTTAGCCAGCAATGACGTATAATAGCTGGTAATAGCCATCATTTTGACAACACCTGCCTGCGATCACGCTAATACTTGATGCAGTAATGGTGTACTGCCGACATTTCTTTATGCATCGCCTGAGTGGTAGAGTGACTCGGCAGGGAATAATGTTCAGTGGTAATTAGCCTAAGGATAGAAACATTCGTGATCCACCACACTTCTTGCTCTGGCTAAATCGTTAGCACTGGCTGAAATACAGCTCTCGTTAAAGCGTCCGTCGGGCCTCAATGCCACTTGCCAACAGCCTAATTGTTCTTCTCAGTCTGTTATGCTTATTTTGACATAATACTGATGTAGGAATTATTTCCCATTTTTGTATGTGAAAGGACACACCTGTCTTCTAGCTTATGGCAATGAAGCAGAACCAACAAAAAGAAAAAAAGGTCAATGTCTGAAAAGGTCTAGGCGCTCAATAAATAATTTTCTAAACATGGCCTTCTTGTAACTGTTTCTTATATCTATTCACTCATGCTCATTTGCAATATAGCTGGTAACTCAGGCTGCTTCTCGTTCCCTTGGTGCGGTCAGTGGCGTGTAACTTTGCTAAGTACCCTTATATTTTAATACATACTTGTCAATTGTTGACGCGAAACTTTTTTCTTTCGCTTTCGTGCATATGCGATGGCGTAATATATTGATATGACCTGCACTCAAAACTGTCAAAAATCCTCTATGCTGAGCATAGAAAAGCATTGACTCGTTTGATCTCTGTTTAGATTTCATTCTTGCTCGGCAAGTTCCCAACAAGCGTTTGCTTTTTCACTTCACATCGAACCTCCGGTGCAGATGACGCCATCTTCACGTGACCCTGTAAAAATCCGGCATCTGGGATGGCCTCGGTGGTTCACGCTGCCCTTGGTTCTCTGTTTCACCTGTCTCACCTTCTTTCCACGAACCGTTATCAGGGTTTGCGTAAAGCCTCTACTGCACATTGCGTTCAGAACAATACACTTTGTGCGCAGAACCGCCCGGAAGTTATGTAGATTTCTCCTAGAAGCTCTCGGTCCTCCTGTGGATGATACGTTGATGGGCGATAAATTTCGCACTGCCGAACAAAGAAGCTTCTACTAGTCGGGAACGTGATAAAACTTCATTTAGGCCAAGCTTATACATACTGCTTAAGTTGAAGTTATTGCTAAAATTCTCAAGACATGCGCCAAGATTAACAAAAACACTGATCAAGGAAGACGTCGTGTTGCCGATATTTATTCTTGCTGCAATTGTGAAGTGTAACTCGAGAAGACGATGTGAGTGGACAAGTGAGAGAAAGCATGCGCGGCTCGTCTTAGAAGCTTGACACTCGTCTTAGAAGCTCGTCTTAGAAACTAAGAGGTCGACAGGGTATTAGAAATACTCATTGTTCCCCCCTACTGGTCTGAATGGGATTTCATCAGTTCTCATGTGATACACCAGCTTCCGTGCTTGCGTTACTTTTCAGAACTTTTTATAGTGTGCGCGTGTGCGGTATGGCTACCTTGCTGGTGCGTTTGCACTGACGTATGAAGAAATAAAGTGCTTGAGTGTGTCTCTTCTTCGTGGTACGTCTTGCGTGTTCGCACTGTGCATTCAACTTCAGTTACGTACTCTAGTCGATCGCTCATTGCACTGCTTTACATTATTTCAGCGTGTCTCATAGTTGCGGAAGCATGACGTGGTTGTGTTCGATGATGTTCCTCCAAAAAAAAACAAAGGAGCAAATTATTTCGGAGAGTTCTCACCAGTTTTTTGAACGTCATTTTTTTATTTTGGTCAATATAAATAAATTTGGTGGTGCTATCAACAACAAAAGTTTGTGGGACGTTGGACCCACGAGAAATGCGAATCCCTGCTATATCAGTGCTTAATGCTTGTGATCAAGCTGCTGAAGGTATAGGGCGGAATGCCAATTTCAGTATGGAACATTCATTCTGAAAGAAAAAAAAAACATTCCCCGTAAAGCGCGAACTTAGCTTTATCGAACATTTCGTGTCCCACTAACTTTTCCTCTTGATAGTACACTTTTGAATTTGATGAATCTGACAATTATTTATCTATAATGAACGTTAGACAGAGTTGACTCTTCAACCAGAGAAAGATGAAGAGGGCAACCTGACTGAAGATCTCGTAGTCTGCTGCAGCACTTTGTGCGATGTTTTCCGGTGGGCAACTGAAGTACTGTCAAAAAGATTGTGGTTTGGTCCATAATTAGGGCAGAAACACGTTCGAAAGTACGAAGAAAACTACACAAGTACATGCTTCCTACGAACTGAACATTTACTCGTAAACAATATATATATATATATATATATATATATATATATATATATATATATGTGTGTGTGTGTGTGTGTGTGTGTGTGTGTGTGTGTGTGTGTGTGTGTGTGTGTGTGTGTGTGTGTGTGTGTGTGTGTGTGTGTGTGTGTGTGTGTGTGTGTGTGTGTGTGTGTGTGTGTGTGTGTGTGTGTGTGTGTGTGTGTGTGTGTGTGTGTGTGTGTGTGTGTGTGTGTAAAAGCCACATGTTTTCTGCGAACAAAACCAACTAGCCTAACAGTCAATTCCTACAAAGAGGTTGATGGTTCACTTTGAAGACGTGGCAGTTCGGACTCTTTGTACAACAAATTGATGAATCGTAGCTTGTATGAACACATTCCCAAAAGAAACTTGATAAAGTGAATCGGTGCTAATGTCGATATAGTTATTTGTCTTCCTGCTAAATAAGCTAACACACGTCACATAGCACATGAGCATTGAACATATCTCGGAACGTTAACTTGTTTTAGGACAAGTCTACATTTGAACCTGTAGCACAACGAAAAGGTGCTCTGGTTGGATTTTACCCATTCTTGGGCAGCGGAGAAAAGACAAGACAAACGCTATTCTAACGACTTTAAGGCTTATTTGAGGAAAACAAGTATATAAAAAACATGGCAGCGTACTGTACGCAAAACAAAAAAAACACCATTTTACGAGCGTTATGTGAACGCAATATTGTCTTCAAATAGTGGTAACGATAGAGAACCTACGCAATTGTTTTCATAATTAGCAATGTGTTATCCCTCACTAATATTCTGTGCATTTCAATAATGACGTTCTGCTGCAATGGAGGCGTCTATCGATGGAGCTTTATTTGTTGGCCCTTGTCCTGTTTTCTTGCTCCTGTATTTTTCCTTTAGTGATGCTCTATAGAATGGTCCAAGCCAAGTTAATTTAATGCACAGGGGAGCGAAATATTGCCATTTCTTCAACTTCATGTTACCTTACGCGCAATATATTTCGGGCCGGGACGCTTTCTTAAGAAGTGTGGCAGCTTGGGCTAGTTGGTATGACATGACGATGATTATAGCGCGAGAACAGAACGACGACAGAGACAAGAAGTGCTCGTGTCCTTCGTGTCCTTCTTGTCTCTTTGTCGTCGTTCTGTTCTCGCGCTATAACTATCGTCGGCTTTCTTAGGGCTCGTTCTTACAGCCGTTAAACGACCCCTTTCGTCCCCATGACGTCACTGGTTTTTTGTCAAGGGAGAGGATTTCCAGCCAGTTTTCTCTTAAAAAAAGGGGGTGACGGGGACGTAAATCCTCATTTTACCCGGGCCGTTTCTGCCTTGGCGCACCTGACGAACAGAAGAAGTCGCGGAGAGCACAAAAAAAAAGCGGGGATAGAAGGACTGGGTGTTTACGTGGTCATGGAGAAAGGGATTATCGTGCCCAAAAATGTGCTGCTGTCGGCCTTGCAACCACCGCCGTCTGTCCGTACCCGGCTCCGTCGCGTAATTTCTACGTTTTTTTTTTTTTGACGTCACATAACGCGACGGGTCGCTTGACGGCTGTGAGAACGAGGCCTTACGCTTACATACTTCGCGCTGCCAGCGGTTTTGTTTCTTCACACAGAATGGAGAACTTCACGGGTCATGCGATATGGCTAATGAAGTGGACGATGCGGAAGAAATTTGTGGAGCCTCAATGTTGGGCATGTTCAAAGGCATATACTGGCCTTCCTCGCTGCAGCTGAAAGCTTTCCTCTCGCCAGCTTTGTTCGTCGAAATACCTTCGCCCGCTATTTCGGCCTTCCGCTGTTCGCACTTTTATGCGTTTCTCTTCTTGTCAGACGGAGAATTCAATAGCGCCATGATCGTAAAACTTGGAGGTTGTACTTGTGTAACAAACGTTTCTAGGTTGTGTTCCTGTATAATAAAGACCCTCTGCTTCTGGTGCGTTGTTTTTTGCCTAAGGCAATTGTCATTCATCGCTCTTACCCATGTCAGACTGATTGAAAATGCTCGGAAGGATGGTCGCAAAAGAAAGGCGATGAACAAAATACAACACGCTGCTAATGAAAATTTAATTAAATATAATTCATTGCCTTTATTTATTTATTACCTTCGGGCGAGGCGTGGAGCAGACAAGATTATCAACTGTTCCACCGCACCCTCCATCGATGATGATGTCAATGGCTAAGGTGACAACTTGAAGTTTATGGACCC